AGCGCAACGTCCACATTGCCTCTGAACCTACCCCCTGGAACAGACCAAATGGTGGCAAGCGAAAGACTTTCGTTAACAATTTCTCGGCCGCCGGTGGCAATACTGCTCTCATGGTCGAGGACGGCCCCCTCAATGAGGAGGATGTGGTGGACTCTCGGTCTGCCCATCCTGTGCTTGTTTCCGCTCGGTCTCAGTCTTCGCTGAAGAACAACATCTCCGCTCTTGTGCAGTACATCGACACAAACAAGAACTCTTTCAGTTTCAACAATGCTGGTCTCCTTGCCAATCTGTCTTACACAACTACAGCAAGGCGTATTCATCATCCCTTCAGAGTGGCTGTCACTGGATCAACTCTGGATGAAGTCAGGAGTGCATTGGCTCCTATCGTCAACCGAGACAGCATCAGCCCGGCTCCCGCCAATGCACCTGGGATTGGCTTTATCTTTACTGGACAGGGTGCTCAGTACACAGGCATGGGACGCGAACTGTTTGAGAGTTGCTCGCAATTCCGCGCCCACATTGAGCACTTAAACTGTATTGGTCAGAGCCAGGGCTTCCCATCTATTTTGTCCCTAGTTGATGGAAGTGTGCCAATTGAAGAGCATAGTCCGGTCGTTACCCAGCTCGGAACCACCTGCGTGCAGATGGCATTGACCAAGTACTGGATGTCTTTGGGCGTCTCCCCTGCCTTCGTCATTGGTCATAGCCTTGGCGAGTTTGCTGCGCTGAATGCGTCCGGTGCCTTGACAACCAGTGACACGATCTACCTTGCTGGGCGACGGGCCCAACTTCTCACAGAGCAAATCAAGGTTGGAACTCATGCTATGCTTGCTGTCAAGTCTTCAGTAGCACAGGTTAAGCAGTTCCTTGATGAGGCTACTGAGGTGGCTTGTATCAATGCACCCAGCGAAACCGTTATCAGTGGCACAAGCGAGAGGATTGATGAGCTTGCACAAACGCTTACCAACGAAGGTTTCAAGGCTACCAAGTTGAATGTGCCTTTTGCTTTCCATTCGGCTCAGGTTGAACCTATCCTTGAGAGCCTTGCTGAAATTGGAAAGGGCGTCATATTCAATACGCCCTCTATTCCATTCGTATCCGCTCTTCTTGGAGATGTCATCAATGAGACCAACAGCGAGCTACTTGGTCCCAACTACCTTACCCGCCACTGCAGGGAGACTGTCAATTTCCTGGGCGCTCTGGAAGCTACCAGACACGCTAACCTGATTAACGACAAGACAATCTGGGTTGAGATTGGCTCCCACCCGGTCTGCTCTGGGATGGTCAAGGCAACTTTTGGACCTCAGGCAACTACTGTGGCATCTCTTCGTCGCCAGGAAGACACGTGGAAGGTTCTCTCAACCAGCATTTCTGCTCTTTATATGGCTGGAATTGAGCTTCGATGGAAGGAGTATCACCAAGACTTCACCGCCGGACACAAAGTTCTCCCACTTCCTTCCTACAAGTGGGATCTCAAGAACTACTGGATTCCTTACACAAATAACTTCTGTTTGCTTAAGGGTGCACCTGCGGTACCAGTGGCTGAGGCTGCACCAGTCGCTGTGTTCCTGTCATCAGCAGCTCAGAGAGTTTTGGAGACGAGTGGTGACAATTCGTCGGCATCTATCGTCATCGAGAATGACATTGCTGATCCCGAGCTCAATCGTGTCATTGCAGGTCACAAGGTGAACGGAGCCTGTCTTACTCCGTCGGTATGCATATCCCCAATTTTCTCACTTAAACGTTTTGTTTACTAATTAAATTCTAGTCCTTGTACGCCGACATTGCACAAACACTCGGTGAATATTTAGTTCAGAACTACAAGCCAGAGTGGAAAGATCGGGGCTTTGATATTTGCAACATGATGGTCCCCAAGCCGCTTATTGCCAAGGGAGGCAAGCAACTCTTCCGTGTCTCGGCCACCGCCAACTGGGCCGAAGAAAGTGCCGAAGTTCAGGTGTGGTCTGTAACTCCGGAGGGGAAGAAGATTCTTGACCACGCCAACTGCAACATCAAGTTCTTTGACCCCAGTCCTTACGAGCTCGAGTGGAAGCGCAGCTCTTACCTCATCAAGCGAAGCATTGAGCATCTCCAAGAGAGCACGATATCCGGCCAGGCTCACCGCATGAAGCGAGGAATGGTCTACAAGCTCTTTGCTTCTCTGGTGGACTACGATGAGAACTACAAATCCATGCGCGAAGTCATCCTCGACAGTGAACAACACGAGGCTACCGCTCTGGTCAAGTTCGAGGCCCCGCCGGGCAATTTCCATCGAAATCCATTCTGGATTGATAGCATCGGTCACTTGTCTGGCTTTATCATGAACGCTAGTGATAACACCGACTCGAAGAACCAAGTGTTCGTCAATCATGGGTGGGACTCAATGCGATGCTTGAAGAAGTTCGACCCCAGTGTCACTTACCGCACTTACGTGAGGATGCAACCCTGGAAAGACTCTATCTGGGCTGGTGATGTCTATATGTTTGAGGGAGATGACATCGTTGCCATGTATGGTGGTGTTAAGGTATGTTGAACAGTCGACTGCGTATTCTCGAATGAAACACTAACATAATACAATATAGTTCCAAGCTCTGGCACGGAAGATCCTCGACATGGCTCTTCCTCCCGGTGGAGCCACGGCACCCAAGCCAGCTGCCAAGCGTGTTCCTGCTCCCATTAATGTCCAGAAGGCAAAGCCTACCGCTACCAAAAAGTCTTCCCCTTCACCAAAATCCGGACTACCAAGTCTGGCTACACGCGCTCTTGCAATCCTGTCTGAAGAGGTCGGGCTTTCGGCATCTGAGATGACTGATGATCTCAACTTCGCTGATTATGGGGTCGACTCTCTGCTCTCGCTGACTGTCACCGGGCGATACCGCGAGGACATGGGCCTCGATCTTGACTCCACTGTCTTCGTGGATAATCCAACTGTCAAAGACTTCAAACATCTCCTAGCTCAGATGGACCCCGGTGAAGCCAGTGATGGCTCAAGCAGCGAAGGTGAAATGTCCTCGGCCGCATCCTCAACTGACTTGTCGTCTCCAAACACCAGTGGCGTGCCAACACCTACAAATGAGAAGTCGATGACACACGGATTGCAGCAGCAAAATGATACCATGAGGCAGATTGCCTCCATCTTAGCCGAGGAGATCGGTGTTGTGCCCGAAGACCTCAATGGCGATGTAAACCTTGCTGAGATGGGTCTAGACTCCTTGATGTCCCTCACAGTTCTCGGTAAGATTCGTGAAGATCTCGATCTTGATCTCCCTGGAGAGTTCTTTATTGAGAACCAAACACTCGATGATATCGAGACTACTCTGGACCTAAAGCCCAGGCTCGCTCCTGCGGAGCCAATCAGACTCCCCGAACAAATCCCTGTTCAAGCCCCGGTGGTCGCTCCCAGCACTGCGCCCCAGCACCCACCAGCCACTTCAATCCTTCTGCAAGGAAACCCAAACACAGCGACCCAGAGGTTGTTCTTGTTCCCTGATGGCTCCGGTTCTGCTACCTCATATGCTACCATCCCTGGAATTTCCCCCGACGTGTGTGTCTATGGGCTGAACTGCCCATACATGCGCACCCCCGAGAACCTCAAATTCAGGCTGGACGAGCTCACAGCTCCCTACGTTGCCGAGATTCGGCGCCGCCAGCCTACCGGCCCTTACAACTTCGGTGGCTGGTCCGCTGGTGGTATCTGTGCCTACGACGCCGCGCGCCAATTGATATTCGAGGAAGGTGAGCGAGTTGAGCGCCTGCTCCTCTTGGACTCACCCTTCCCCATTGGACTGGAGAAGCTCCCTCCCCGTCTATACAGTTTCTTCGATACAATCGGACTGTTTGGGGAGGGCAAGGCACCTCCACCCAAGTGGCTCCTCCCTCACTTCCTCGCTTTCATTGACTCCTTGGACGCTTACAAGGCGGTTCCATTCCCCTATACAGACCCCAAGCTAGCCGACAAACTCCCCAAGACCTTCATGGTCTGGGCCAAGGATGGTGTCTGCTCTAAACCAGGTGATGCCCGCCCTGCACCAGCTGCGGATGGTAGCGCCGACCCTCGTGAGATGCTCTGGTTGTTGAATAACCGCACTGACCTCGGTCCGAACGGCTGGGATACCCTTGTCGGACCGAAGCATGTTGGTGGCATTACCGTTATGGAGGATGCCAATCATTTCACTATGACTCGTGGCGAGAAGGCCAAGGAGCTGGCTACATTCATTGCTAACTCTATGGCTTCGGTGTAAACACATCGCATCTTGGCGCTGCGACATGTCTATTTCCTGGAGATTTGGACATGGACCCTTTTGTCTTCTATTTACCTGTCCATTCTGTACGCTGCTGCCCAGGACGAAGTTCTTTCTTTCCTTCCCTGTCTTATTATCTTAGTGTATACATAATCCATAGTCTTGTGGCCCTTCGCTACTTGTGGGTTACATTTTAATTATCAAATATGAAATTCAGATTGCTCTTTTTTTTTTTTTTTTTTACAATCGGAAGCGTTGGTTTTATTTAAAAGGCATCGATAGAACAGCTAGGTAAAATTTAACATTGAACACCTTCCAGCCCGGGAAGGCCGAAAGGAGGTGCAGCTTAAAAATCGAACAAAAACACTAAGATATCTGTCATTGGAGCTGTGGCGAAAAGAACTACCACGAAAATCGAATAAAGCAGCAGCACTTGCTTGGGGATGACACAAGAAGACTGAGATACCGTTGCATCCGAGACCTGCTTTACTCTCGCGAAATGAAAATCGCTCATGGGTAAATGGGAAAGTCGCAATGAATGGGACGCCAGGATGATGCAATGTCGTAAAGAACGGACCAAATGAATAAAGACCTAGCTAATGTGATTGTGAAATGCTTCGCAAAGGGCAGATGGCCTGTCTATGTATCGTGTCTAGACGTCATAGATTGGCAAGGGTGAGAAAAACGCGCGCCAAGAACATGATCAATAGCAGGAGGCGTGGGAAGATCGGGGGAGATGGGGGAGATTGAGTAATTTTCTTAGAAAGGCATCTCTGAACTATATCGTAGCGCACTGCCCCTGCCCCCAAGACCGCCATTGCCGTTACCATTATGACCAACCCCGGGGCTGGTCGGACGGCTGCCGGCCCACTTTGGGCTTCGTGGTTGAGTGCTAGTCGAGCGAGTCGATGGACGATTCTTCCGGATTTCACGAAGCTCATCTTCCTTCCTGCGTAGGAATTCGTCGCGCGTAGCGAGAGTTAATTCTAGCTCTTCAACCCGAGCTAGATGACGGACCGACTCATCGTTCATGTGCAGCTCACGAAGTTGGACGGCATTGCTTTCAGCCTTGCGCTTTAGTTTCTCATTCTCGGCAGCCAAAAGGCGGCTTTCTGTGCCGGACTGAGCGGCCGCTGTAGACGCAGTTTGATATTGCTCTCGCATGTACTCGGATTGGTTTTTCTCGAACTCAGCCTTGCGCTCAAGATTCGAGTTTTCTTTGACCAGGCGGCGGATTTCCTCGCGTGCTGTCTCCAGTTCAGCAGAACTGCCACCGCCATTTTTGAGTGCTTGTCTGGCTTCGTCGAGCTCTCGCTTTAGCTCTGTTCGTTCTTCTTTCAGACTAGAGATAGTCTCTTTTTGTTTCTCGACGCGCTGTTCCAGAGACGGCTTGCTTTCAGTCACGCGATCACGCTCTTGGCGAGTGACGTGGAGTTCTTTTGTCCGAGTCTCGTAACGGTGTTGTAGAATACCCAGCGACTTCTCCATTTCCTGGAATCGAGAATTTGCCTGAGCAAGCTCAGCCTGCAACTGGGCCTTTTCGGTCGCGTGAATTTGTTTCATCTGGATAAGATTCTTTTCTAATGATTGCAAATCACGGTCCAATGTTTGACTGGGAGGCTTGGTGGATTCAGTCAACTGGCTGTTCTCTTGGGTACCGACTCGTGCGCGCTTTGACGAGTGTTCCTCGGGTTCTTCGTCCTGCTCCGAAACGTTAGTTGAATTAAAGATAAATCAAAATGTGGGATCCTTACCAGTGTGCGTTTCTGGGCCGGCGGCATCACCTCGTCAGAGGAAGAGCTGTAACACTCTAACTCCGCTAGAGACACAAGATTCAAAGGCTCAATGGTAGGCAGTGGCCAGCCAGCAACACTATCCAAGAGGTATCCAAGAATCTCTTCGGCATCTTCATGTACGCCGAAGGCATCATCCTGGAGATCACCGACCTCGTCATGGAGACGGGCAATGTAGTGCACAAGTAAACGCAATCGATCTGGCTCTGGTGAGTCGGGCAAACAACGCTCGATATGTTCACTCGTGTTGGCGACAAGAAACCAGATGACGGGAAGCAAGTTCCCGTTTCGGGCATAAGTCGTTCGGAGGTGCTGCACGGACGGACTTCTGGGTCTAAAATATGAATCCAACGCAAAAATAGCAGATGGCGGCTTGTAGAGTTCACGGGCGGCCTCACTGGAATGAATTCCAAAGCTGAGCGACCCCTTGGCTAAGGAAACTTCCAGGGTGGTGCCCATCTCTCCACGGGGTCGGGTGTAGGCAAAGCCCTTCCCTTGGAGATAACGCTCAAGAACTGCCTGTTTCTTCTCGTCTTGAACAGCCAGAATAATATGGAGCTCGTTCGTACCTATAGTTTCTATGAGATGACCGAGTAGGAGAAACTTTGCACTGGAGTATTCAGCCCAGGATGCCTCTTTCGCAAGGTCGGGATCAGCATCTTTCAAATGGTCGGAGATGTTCAAGTCCGGATGGGTCGAAACATTGCTCAACCGCGCTATGACCTCTCGCATGTGTGAGTGTAAAACCTCTCGCTGTGCACAAAATGTTAGCAATACGAATTATATTCAAGAAAGATTCTCCATCTACCTCAGACTCAGAGATTTGAGTAGTCAGCTGAAAGCTTTCGAAAAATTGGCGGATGCTTGCAGCTGCATCTGATAGCACTCGTTCATAGTCATCCTTCACACGGGAATCCATCGGAAGGGTGACAGCAAATTCAGATGGCCCAAGGTGGACTGACCCGGGCACAACCTCATCATCCATGCAGGACACAGTCAACGCGCTGGGGTGGATAGTTTGCAGTGAAAGTTGACTCATATGGCCTCCGTTGGCTAGTTCTGATGGTGGTAGTAAAGGTTCAGAATGGCCATGGTGGACTGCAGTATGTGAATGGGAAAAGGAATCTGTGTCGGGTCTGACACTAAGTGGCGCAGTTGTTTCGGGGACAGACACCGGGATCGAAGCCTCGATATCCCCCACGGAAGATGGAGTTTGGATGGCGTTGCCTGTTTGCGGTAGTTCAGATGGATTCTCTTCGCTAAGTCGGGCCCAGGCGTTCCGCATTTTTTCCGTGGGAGTTGACCCTGGCAGTTGACTGTATCGGTCCAAAGGAGCATCAGAGAGAGAAGGATCCGATGGCTTGGGCTCTTTGTCTGCCATGATTTCGGCAGATGGTCCTTCTCCCACACGATTTGAAAATGAAAGCGTCGGTTGAGTGAAACGTTCAGTGCTGAGACGTTCTGGATGTTGTGACAAGTGTTGAAAATCTGTCTCTGGAATTGAGCTTAGATAAGTTGACTGGACAAACTCGCAGTCTGTGAAAATGTGAGCAAAATGTCAAACTCAACGCGCATGTGACACTACCTCTGACGATGCGGCCAGACGGGCCAAGAGGCTGTGAAGTGAAATGGCTGTGAGATGGAGTATTATCAAAAGGAAAAGAGCAGAGGCATGAGAAACCAGCCCCTGAGCCTGTTGGATGAGCAGGCGTCTCAGCTATTTCAGAGACCTTAGAGCTCAGTCCAAGACCCGACGTGTTCGGATGTGAGAATCGAAGCACGTTGCTGATTTCCTCAGAGTACTGTCGATGCGATGAGCAGCTGTCAACCGAGTCGTCCGCTGAGTCAAAAGTCGCATTAGGATGCTGCGTACTGTTGTCGTTCCACTCACCTGGTAGCAGGTATTCAGGCGGAGTAGATGACTCGGAAATATATTCAAGAAATGGGGCGTCCGCCTGCGAGCGAGAGTTTGTTGATCCAGTCGCTAGGGGTAGAGAAGAATCGGAGAGAGATTGGGATGGAGATGCGGTCCCGTAAAAGCGGCCCGAGGCTTCAATGTACTGGGATTGAAGAGAGTCTACTATCTCTGAAAGGCCCTCTTGTTGTACAAACAGTGATGAAGAAGCTCTTGAATAATTATCAGAGTCAGCGTCACTCTGCTCGATCTCGCTGTCGAAGGGCGTGCGGTTGCGGTCCTCTAGGCCTATGTCTGCTTCTGATGGCGAAGAAACCTCGATGACACTGGGCGATCGAGTGACCCTCTCCCGTGTCGATTTCCTATTTAGTTCGCTTTGTCGCTGAGCTTTCCGCTTATTCCAGACCTGTATAGCAAGCTCGCTCGCGTTCTCTTTGGGTTCCTAAACAACGAAGGCAAGCGCATTTATTAGCACAAGCTCGCGAAACATTTCTTTGATGCCTTTTGTGTCCAGACATTTGACAGAGACTCACCCAAGTTGGATCGTAAGGACCCTCCCAATCAATAAGATATTCGGTGTTTGTTTCACGGAGGATACACTTTATAGGCCACTCCTGGTCGTCCGAATCACTACCGTCGCTGCTTTGACTGCTATCGCTAATAACCACAGATGTAGCTGGAGACCTGTCAGTATTCTTTCTGTCCTGACTATCGAGTTTCGGCGGGTGAGGCTTCTCCCGAAACATCATGTGCGGGCGATTGGTCTTGGTGAGATGTTGGACAACATAACTGGGGTGAAATGAGAGTGTAGGTTCAATACTCAAGCTTAAGCTCACACGAGCTGCATTGATCCAAGACACATACAATTTTCAATCCTGGGCAACATCTATCACTTCCCAAAACAAGGCGAAGGTATATGAAAGAGGGTAATGCCCGGCGCGGCGCGACGGACGGACGGATAGTGAGCCCGCTTCACGTGATAACGCTTATCGGCTGTAATCTACAAGATTTGGGAATAGTGATATGTTGGTCAAATTTATAGGCGTATTTGTCTCTAAAATAATTCAAAGGTGTACAAATATTGTATTTCTAATGGATATACATCACTCTAATGTTGTAGGTACAGGTTGAGATGGGACCTTGAGCAATGAATCAACGATCATCTTGTTGCCTCTTCCACTCTTCAAAGTCGAACCCAAGCTCTGCTAGATTCTTGATCTCGCCTCGCTTCTCACCTCGCTGTATAAAAGCACGCCTTATATCTGGGATATTGGCTCGCACCCATCTTTCCCGCTCACCCCACCGAGTACCAAGTTTGCCTTGTCCATTGTTAGACAGTCCAGGTCGTGCCTCGGCCTTTTTTGCCCAGTCGTAGAGAAAGTTAAGGTAGTCAGCATCCATAGGGAATGGAAGCAGGTGAAACTCCTTTCCATCTCCTTTGGCATCAATTTCAGAAGCCTCCCATGCCTTCATCTCAGCTTTTGATGGAAGTGTGAGCCGCGCAGACCACACACGAGAAAAAACAGCAGCGTGGTTCTCAGCCATAGGGAATGGAATGACCCGCTGCGAAAGCACTGGGAATACCAGAGTAGGGTGGTCTATGTAAAACAACTGCTGGTAGACATTCATTGTTCGCCAGCCGTGGGTCACAGCTGGTGGGTTGAGTGAAGCCAGGAAAGGATATGAATAGAAATAACCGGTGCAGAAGACAATGGCATCAACATGTTCCTCAATGCAGCCATCCGCAAACTGTATACCTCTGTCATGAGTTGTCGAAGGAAGAAACTCGACTATCTGCGGGCATATGATTTTATCGCCATTCGGGGGTGCAGAGGATTCAGATAGTTGCGAGAGCAAAAGTTTGCCTTGGCTTACTTCATTGATTTGCGCACCAATGTCAAGCCCGGAAGCAGAATTTCCCACCACAACCACTTTCTTCCCTTGAAAATCTTCTGGGCAGTTGTAAAACTTGGAATGAGAGATGGCACCTGGGTATGATGCATCCCAGGCTTGTATCCCCGAGATGCCGGGTATATAAGGGACCGTGAAATGACCACTTGCAACCACCACAGCATCATAGGTGTGGGTTGTGTCAATGCCGGTTGGAAGGCTCTTTGTTGTTAAACTCCAGGTGCTTAAAGTTTCATCGTTGAGTTTCACTTCTAAGACTTGTGTCTCAAATTGAATGAGGTCTTTGACATCTTCGGCATAAGCCTCCAGGTATTGTCTCACTGTCCTGTGTTTGGGAAACAGCTGGGATTCCAATGGGAAGGCTTGATCCGAATAACGCATTAACTCCTTAGGGATGTTGGTTTCCAGTCGATCGTATAGCGGAGACACGAATGTTGCTTCACGCCCCTCAGCAGAATCAACCCATACTGGCTTCTCGACTGGCTCGTGAGGCGTTGAATGTGGCACAGTTGTTGAAACCCCTTTTTTTGAGGAACTCGGCGTGTAGTTCCAAACTCCTCCCACGGAACTCCTTTGCTCGAAGACCTCGATTTGATCGAAACTTTTCTCGGCGAGGAGGTATCTAAGTCAGTCAGCATTGTCATGGTGGGGGCGAGTATGTAACAAACCCGCTTACTTGACTGCAGCAAGACCAGACGGCCCTGCGCCGATGACAGCTACTCGACGAATAGGATGTGTGATTGCCATGCTTTCAACGAGGTCTTGATGGTTACGAGTAATCTATGTAGTTCGAAATTCAGTTCCGTTGCGAGATACAACTTAGAGGAAGTGGCCTTGATGCTTAGTGCCCTCGCCATAGTGGAGTTGCGTTAAGTGTACTCCGTACTATCTCATTTAGTTAACTAGCTGGTTACAATGTTGTATGTACCTGTTTTACGATAACCCCGCTTTATCTAATCGGAGGGTATACAGTGTGTACTATCATACTACGTACATCTGAAATGAGGGAGCAAAGGGCAAGTACAGATGGTTGACCAATTGCCTGATACATAGTTATAATATCTAACCCTGCAACGGTCAAATATCGGAATCCTATAGATGGAGATACAAGAGGCGGAGTTCAAATTACCTAAATAGGAAATCTAGATGACTCTAATATATTCGCATTCCAATGCCATGAGGCAAATTGCAAAGGCACCTCCAGGATTCATATTTACATCTTATAGAACTCATTGGAACCACATTCTTTCACTTGATCACTCTAATTTTGAATTATTGTAAATTAACGAATCCTGAAACAGTATCTCATAAAGGTAAGACTTCCATTGTCACCAAGATAATGTAATCCAAGGGGTAATTTTGGGTTACACAATACGTAAATTACACCTTTCCCGTCATATTTTTACTGGACCATGACCTGACGGAGCTTCAGCTTGTCAACTCTTTGTAGCACGAAATATTCCCTTACATATTTTCCTTTCAGCCTTCGGTCTTCTTTAGTCGCATTTTTTTTTTAAAAAAAAACCCTCTCTTTATTTTATCTCAACTATTCTTCCTGTTTGACATGTTGACAGCTTGACAAAACAACAGTCGGGCCTGGGAAAACCGGCGCAATGAATGCGATCGAGCAGTCTCCCGAGCAGCCTCCCGCGCTGGGGCACTTGACCAGAGTTCCGATAGCTCAGCTTTCTCCCGACATTGAGCAACTGGCCGAAAAGTCTTTTCTTGCAACTGTGGCACTTGTGTGGCCATACTCCTCTTCCACCAAGTCTGTGAGCCTTCTGTTAGCGGAGCCGGATTTCCGCCTAAGGGGCGCCAAAGGACAAATCAAGGCCACGTTTCATGGGCGGGTCGCAGAGAAGGTCGCAGAATCGCATGTCGGAATTGGGGATACTGTTTGTCTGGCCTTGAAAGATATCAAGTTTGTCAGCAATGACGGCGTCCAGCAAACCCCAGGAAGGTCAGTCGCATGGGATGCGCACTGGGAGAATGGCGTGTTTCTCGAGGTATGTTGCTTCCAAACTGGGTATGGATTTTACGGCGACTGACTCCTGTCCATATAGATCTACCGATCTTCCCAATCCCCGTTGATAATATCAGTTGAGCCGCAAGTGACAGCACCGCATGAAACCGAATCCGCACCGCCTACAACCCCTAGTGGGAAATCGATCAATCCCGAACTTGACCTGCCTTCTAGTGCACGCCTCTGGGGATCACCGGTATTCCTTGAGTCTGCCCGGACCTCATTCGGAGGAACAATCCGTTCCACCTTCCATGATTTTGCGGAGGAAGATGGATTTGTTCCCGGGAAAGGAAGGAAAAAGCCGAGATATAGCCTGCACAGGGAAGATTGGCGTGTTATCGATGAACCAGAAAGCCCACATGAGCAAGAAGCCCCTGTGGATTGGGAACAGGCTTTGATACATTCTATCGACCAAGAGCTCGATGAGGCAGATTTGGCGAGTGAGCCTTCAGACGAACCGATGACGGATGCTGCCCAAGCTCCAACATTCACAGAGGATGCACCAGAAGATCCGCTTCCAGTGTTCGCGAAGCCCTCCCTTGAATTGACCGGGAGTATCCTTGAAAGACATGCCGACGAGTCGAATGCTTTATCTCATGAACAAGCTGATAAAGATGGAACACCTTTTCATCTACCAACGGATACACCGCAGATTAGACCCATCCCTTCTCCGGGGCTCCCGATCCCTTCGCCCCTTGTATCTCATCATGTTGGCTCGTCTCGCGATCTCCTGCCATGGACTGCGCCCACGCAGCCCCAGGAGAGTGGATCTGTTCCTGTGGACATGGGCACCATGGCAACCCCCGCAGCATCATCTATCGAGACCCATCACACCGATCCCATCAGCCCCATCCATACGGAGACAGTAGAACCAGTTGATCCAAATGTTGAACCCATCCATCAAGAACATGTCTTAGATGCCGGTTTTGGCTTCCGCGATGATTCGGCGTCAAATCCAAACCGAGAGGGTCTACCAGAAAGACAAGGAGTTGAGATAATCGACGCGGAACTTATTGAGGAATCAGATGTCGTTGATGCTAATGTGGTCATCAACACTACCGGCGACGAGGCTCAAACGTCAAATGAAACAGAGCAGAGGCATACCGTGGATGATCTTAACCGCGATCATGCATCACCACTTTCAGGCTCGGCAGGTGAATCGGATGACTCCCCTGGCGTCAACGACGAATCTGCTGCCATTCAAGCTGATACGGGCACTGAAAATGCCGCCGACGAAGCCCAGGCATCAGATGAAACAGATGACGAACGTCTCATTGATGTCAGTTACCTATGGCGCGATGATTCAGTATCATCTTCGCGCTCGGAGGAGGGCTTGGAAGATGAATCACTTGAATCCTCACAAGGGATCGATGGCTCAGATATTGCCCAAGCTGATCTTGGCATTGAAACTGTCAGCGATAATGTTGGACTTCACAAGGAACATTCTGAGCCTGAGCCTCAGTCAGTCAACTATCCACAACTAGCCACCACTCTTGATCAGGATGCGATTGATGCCCTCGAAAGAATGATAACCGATCGAGATGAGGAAATTGAAAGGAAGAGAGACATGGAAGAGGAAAAAGTAATGGAAGACAACATCGATCGTTCACCCAGTCAAGAATACAGTGAAGAAAAGCATGAAATGGCCAAGGATGAAGAAGTGTACTATGCGGAGTCAGTGGAAAATTACAATTCACAAGATGAATATGAAGACGAGGATTTCCCTTGTGATCCTCGATTGGAAACACGATTGGACCAAGATGAGTTCAGTGATGAAAAGTCTGAGCAGGAACAGAACCTGCCTTCGCAGACGAGAACCCAAGAAGTAATCGTGCTTGACAGTGACAGTGATGATGAGCCTACCTCCAATTATCCGGCAGCCTCAGCTTCGCAGTCAGCAGAACGAGAGGACCACTCACACCGCTTTGAGTCTGGATATCCAGATGTCCCTCCAGCCACAGCCGAGTTTGCAACGGGTGTACAGTATCCAGAGCCGTGGTATGTCGGTAGAGAGGGTGGCTATCACGGAGCTGAGGAAGAAGATTCAGACATGGTTGAGCGCGAAGAGAGCGAGGAAAGTGACGAAATCGAAGACAGTGAAGAGCGTGAATACAATCAACAGGATGATCGAGTTCACGAGAGTGACATGGAGGATGACGAGCCGACCTCAGATCACTATGAAACGGTCCATCCATCTGAAGTGGCATCACCCAACCCTGAACAGGATGAAGACAGACAAATGGATGACGCGGAACTCATCGAAGAAGCTGACATCGACGAGGATCATTCTGCGGCCACACTTGGCGCAGAGAAAAGTGAAGAGCGCGAATACGATGAACAAGAAGGCCGAGTTCACGAGAGCGACATGGACGACGAAGAGTTGTCCCAAGACCACTACAAAACACCTCATCTATCTGAAGTGGTATCGCCCAACCCTGCGCAAAACGAAGATAAAGAAACAGAAGAGGCGGAGCTCATCGAAGAAGCCGACCACGATGAATATTACACTGCGGCCAACCTTGACGCAGAGCGACGTGAAGAGCACGAGCACAATGAAGAAGATGATCGAGTTGACGAGAGTGACATGGATGATGACGAATCGACCCGAGACCACTATGCAACAGACCACCCATCTGAAGTCGTATCACCCAACCCTGAGCAGGACGAAGATGATGAAATGGAAGATGCGGGGCTGATCGAAGAAGCCGACGACGAGGAATATCATGACGCGGCCACAGTTGGCGTAGATATGGAAGTGCCAGTTGATCAGAACTCTGATGAGGGGCAACCAGGCAATATTGATCCAAATTTGCTTGATATGCCTGAATCTCATCATCAAGGCGTGTCCTCAGTCGAAACTCATGCTGGGCAGTATCTCCCTGTGGACGGACAATCTGATTTGCATATACCTCCATCTACTCGAAATGCCATGGCCGATCTTTTATTGAAACATGAACATGAACCGCCTGTCGAAGGACACGAAGGGTCCAAAGGACACGAAGGGTCCAAAGGACCCGAAGGACCCGAGGCCCTTGGCGGTCGAGTCTCGCCATCCATTAGACGTTCATTTGAGCGACAACTCTTGACCTTGGACCCCACCCAGGAAAATGCATTCACACGTGAGCTGGTTAATGATATTGAAGTTGAAACTTCATTCACGATCGAAGAAAATGACGCCCCTGCTGGTCTGGATAGAGTGTCGCAGCCTACTGGCTCCCCGGAGTCCGACCAAGATGATGGTCTCGAAGCAGAACCCATAGAGGATATCCAACGAGAGATGCACGTTGATGGACAGGATGATTCCATGCCTCCTTCAGAACTCGCCGAAGCAGCGGAGCCCCCCAGCAACGCCCGAACCTGGCCGATCTCTAGAAGTTGTGATTAACACCGGATCCCCCAAAGCACCGGCAGTTTCCGCTGCACAGCCCCCAGTACCTGATCGTAATGCCTCTGGACTGCGTAGCAAGCTTTCTTACTTCGCCCCGCTCGCTACACTCATTGATCACTACAATGCATTGGTCGATACCATCTCAATTGTGCACGAGGCCTCACCAATAACCCGAGCCAAATCCGGTTCGAAAGACTGGTTCGTGACTATTCAACTGTCCGACCCCTCCATGGCTGGCACGACTCTTCGTGCTCAGATTTTCCGGCGCCACAAGGCCTCAATGCCATCATTGGCAGAAGGCAACGCCATACTCTTACGCGACTTCAAGGTCCGGAGCTTCGATCACACTGTGATGCTTGTCAGCGTAGACTCCAGCGCATGGGCGGTATTTGACGGTTCGGGTCCCGATGCCGAGACAAACGGACCCCCTGTCGAATATGACGCGCAGGAACGTGCCTACGCCTCTGGCTTACGTCGATGGTACTATGAAGTTGGCTCGGATAGGGTCGCAGACCATATGCTCCAGGCGGCCATTGAGAGAGACAGCCAGGAGCGCGATATGACACCAAGCAGTCAAGTGCCAAGCGAGTCAGGGAGTCCGGATTCCAGGCGTGGCCATCGCAAGCGCAAAAGCAATCGAAGAGTCACTATTCATGAACTGCGGGATGGCACTCGTTACACTGAGGTCGGTTCTCCAAACAGTGGAAACAGCAGTGTTCATGAATTACGGGATGGCACGCTGTATGCGAATATTTGAAATGTTTGTCTTGATATTTTGATACCTGATGTCCATGTACCTACGATTTCATTTGAACAAATCTAAAAATTTCGGTAATACTATGTACTCTCTCATATATACATATCGGGATCTCTATTCTCCAGGAATAAAGGCAGGATACACCTGTCTGCATCCCTAACGACTACCCAGACAGCACCATTTTGCCCTGGCTTTTGTATAACATCACCCTCTCGTTTTTCATCTCTTGGCCACTTTGTGGCTTCTCATTTTGACCTTCCTTATACAGAGATAAGAGCGGCATCGTCTCGTTCTTCCAAGTGGGAACCCTAGCTGTGCGAGTCTTCCAAATAGTGCCCAATAATGTGACAAGGCCCAACAGCCACACCAACACGGGAAGAATGATCCACTGCCAATGAATGGAAATGTGTGTCCTGGCCGACATTGCCTGTCCGGCAGTAGTGACGTTTGAAGAAGACGCGTTATCCCGAATAGCCTTTGACATAGCGTCGGCGACATTATCCATAGCACATTGCATTTTGTTAGTAATTCCAACCGGGCAATCCGTTACGTTCGCAAGTGTGATGAACTGCATCAAATCCGCCGTGGCGTATTTATATTGCTTGCTGTCAGGACTGAACGTAAAACCAAAAAGATCGAGCCGCGCTCGGCCGGCGAAGAAGTTTTGGAAAAAGTATTGGATTGCCACAAGCGAATTCCTCTGTATCACGAACTCTTTGTTTGGTTCCACGCCCATCTCTGGTCCCCAGGGAGGATGCATGCGGTAGTGTTTATGAATTGAGTTGTCGAAAGATCCGTTCTTCGAGATGGCCAGTGTTTCTTGGTGATAAACGCCCTTGGTGACGTTTGCTTTAAAGCTGTGGATAACAGGTTCAATGCTGCATTCTATGGCTTCCCATTTGAAATCCTTCGAGAACTTATTCTTCCATGTCGCTTGGCGTTCTGGCAGGTCATGTGGGGCGATAAGCTGGATAGCAGGTATGAGGCTTTCTGTGTAGATGAAACTATCCGTCGATCCTATCACGATTGGCGTACCGTGGTATGTGTTCAACTGGAAAGCCGCAGATATATTATTGGTGTTACTAGTGCCACCTTGGATCGAAACAGAGCACATGGGCTCAATTGAAACAGGTCTCTTCTCGTCGTGGTCATTGCATTCGGTTTTCAGTCGGTCTGTTATGTTCGTGCAACTCGCCCTCATTTCCAATGTAGCTATTGGATCCCAGGTACAGTTTCCCGAGCTACAGGTATACCGTGGGATGGACCATGGCTTTGACGCGTCGCTGTTGAATAGCGAGTTGTAAATATTGGCTTTCATTTCCGCATCAAGGTACCACGCTCCTATACACTTGGGTTAGCGACAATTCGGCCCAAAACGAACCTCACTCAACGTCTTACCAGTTTCCAATATAGGACCTAGAGCATCGTATTGGGCGTTGCTTGACACGATAGCAGTCCCCGAGGAATCAGCAATGAGTTTAGGGTAGTAGTGGATCAAATTTTGGATGAAAGGGTCAAAGGCGATGGCGAGGATAACGGCTAGACTGCCTAAAGCTGCAAAATGTCTATGTTGTATATATCATAAGTCCCCTATTCGATCCACGACCGTGAGAATATATAGATATACATACCTTGCCCGTAGTTTCCAAACTAAGCCCGCACAACCGTATATCCCGCGGCTGGCCCCATCAAAGGCACCCAAATCAACTAAAGGTCGGCTCTTCCGTGTGAACCACACCCACTTGAGCTGTCCTATTCCCTCGCTGATAGCTGATAAGACACATCCTTTTGAGACCGTGCTTAACCAGGATATTAGGGAGTTCAGCGACATTAACCTCCAGGCCGGTTGAGGACGACCATCATATTGTGTCAAGATCACAACGATCGCGACCAGAACACCCGAGGATAAGATCATGGCTAGTACCTCCCAGATAAACAAACTCGAGATAAGCTGCCATATGGACGGTTGGTCTCTGTCCTTTGGTTTGTTTTCCTGGTTTACCGTACCGTACACTAGAGGTTCATTTGCTGGTTCGGGATGAGGCTCAACGGGAAGGATCCTGGGTGATTCCTCTTGTGCATTTTGAGCATTTTCATTTGAATGTACAGGGGACACAGGTGACTCTCCTGGTTCTTGATTCTGGACCATTTCGGAGACGAAGAGAAAAGGGCGGATGTAGTCCTGGGGCTTGGGATGTACGGAGTCGATGTGGACCGTACCAAAGGAGTCTGTACAACATAAAAGAGCAGACTGGGCGCCATTCATATTAAGCAATGTTGTGCCCCCATTTCATCTCTTGGCATTTGGCCCCCATGTTGATAAACAGCCTACATGAGGCAAGCTACATGAGACTATGCGGGGCTATGTTTGAGAAAGGGATGATCGTCGCTCCAGGGCGCTTCGAAGGTCTTTTCTTCTGGGATATTTGGGCATATTTCGGACATTTAATCCGCATGGATAAGAATAGAGCGGCATAATTCGAATCCTATGGTATTCCCAATGTAGAAAATTGCGAAGACTGGACTGGAGGATTTTGATATTGCAGTGCTGATCTCTTTTGCCAAGGAGTCGACCCGCTGCAATTTCTTTTGTAAACTTGAACGATGAATAACCCACCTAGTGCTTTATTTCTTGAGTACCCAAAATGGGGGTCTATATACATACTGCCAGTGTTGAGAGATAGTGAAAGTCTAAATTCTTCAATGGTATATATATATATATCTAGTGATGCGTTATCATAAGAATCAAGATTTCATATCTTCGACTGCTTCTCTGCCGCAAAATATTCCGCGCTCACAGCAGCCTGAATCAACTGATGGGCAATGGCCGTAGGAGGGGGCAACCGCAACCCGCCCTTGTATTCCGGACCAGCCTGGGAACCCAAGTCACTTACCCCAATCCGCAGCGCCTCCTCCACCTCCTCCACCTCAAACCACCGCGCATCCTCCAACTCAGGATCGTGCTGCAAAGAGATCGTCTCGTGCGCGGGGTCACTGGCCTGAGCAAGAGCACCGATCATCAAATTAGCCGGATACGGCCAAGGCTGTGAGGAGTGAATAACAACGCGGGATAAAGTGACACCCGATTCCTCCCACACCTCTCTCCGCACAGCATCCTCAATCGACTCGGCTGGCTCAATGAATCCAGCCAAGGTGGAATACCATCCTGGCGGGAATCGCTTGGAGCGCCCGAGCAGGATCCGCTTGCCGTCGGCGGAAACCACCGCCACAATGATAGTCGGATCGGTACGGGGGAAGCAAAGGTTTGACAACGTAGTACGGGTATTGCACTCCGGCCGTTGTTCCGTATTGCCCTCGGCTGCTCGCGCAACATCCGTTGGCGGACAGGCACGCTTGGTTCCTGCATTCACAGGCAGAGTACGGTGGCCGCATGTCCCACAGAAGGTATTGCGAGTGTTCCAGTCCATCAGCGCACGTGCCTGGGCGTAGATAGCAGCTATCCCGAGTTGATTAGTTCCCCTTTGCCAATTTGGACATTAATATCGCGTCTTCATACCTTCATCTGCGGAGAAGGACATGACAACTCGTGCTTGGAAGAAAGACAGCCCTTTCGCCTCCATGACACTAATCACATCCTTTGCTGCAGTCTGCTGCTCTTCAGAACCCTTAGGGGTCACATCGACTGCAAAATACGGCGTGCCAGAGTAAATCTTCCACGTCAGACCTTCTTCCTTGCGGCTCTCGTCCAGTCCAAGGAATATAAGGGTCGGGTGTGTCTTGCGCGAATCATAGGCCTTGATCATGTCTTCCTCGGACGTATCGAAGGTATCCCGAGACACAAGCTTGCGTACGTCGTCATACTTGGCATAGTGTAGCTGTGCCGGCGACGGAGTCAAGGGCGCTAGGTTGTTCAACAGTACAAATCGGGTCGAAGGGTGCTTCAGAGCCGTAGACAGGAACGGGTGGTCAGAGCGTAAGAACGATAAACGGTTGATTGGAGAGCCTGCAAATACTTTAGCTCTACTGCACCGAATATATGAGAGTACAAGAAATTCTTACTGGAGAAGTAATTCACCGTCTCTTTGCCGAAGTGCCGGGACAACATGGAATCCTCAAGCATATGAGCCGGGGTGGGGATTTGAGGGGTTGTGCTCATTCTGTAAGAGCTAGATTGCCAACAATAAATGTCTAATACGGTAGAATATTGACAAGAAAAAAAAATTCACTTTATAAAGGGTCTATATTCAAGATATTATGAAACTGGACTCCCAGCTCCAGCCCTTCGGAAGGCTGAGGAATCGCATTAATCAGCGGCCTCGGGACATTTATCCAGAAATACAAGAGGATTACACGTATTACATGTTTTGAATCGGATTTAGAGGTCGGCAATTCCAATTGGAAGGTATATTACAGTAATTTATAGTATTTTACAGTCACACTATTACCCGTGAAGCGGGGGAACTTAAGCTCCCCACACACGTGACCACATTCTTTTGACTCTTATCGCCGACGAGCCTCTTTGCGAAGCACAAGATACGGACGTCATAGTCATACCAGGCATCATGGGGCACCTAGTCACTCTAGCAACATGGTAAACCTAACCCACTTACTATCCGGATACTAGAGAACCCCGCACTAACTCGTTCTAGCTCTCTTAACCAGTGGGCTCTCGACTTTGAGGGCAACGCGGACCGTATCATTGAAAGTATTCGGCAAGCTAAGGCTGCCGGTGCCACTTTGCGCGTTGGACCAGAGCTTGAGATTACCGGCTATGGAGTTCTGGATGGTTTCCTTGAGGGCGACACTTTCTTGCACTCATGGGAAATGCTCGCCCGCATCATCGACCATCCCGATTGCCAGGATATTGTGGTTGACGTGGGATTGCCGGTTCGCCATCGCAATGTGCGCTACAACTGTCGGTGAGTATCGGCGATGTAACTGATATCGCATTAGCTGATATATCCTCTCAAGTGTGATTTTCTACAACCGGAAGATCATCCTGATCAGGCCGAAGATGTGGCTTGCCAATGGTTTGTTCAATTGTTCTTTACATTTCGGAAAATAGTCGCTAATATCGGTTTTTATTATAGATGGCAACTATCGCGAGCACCGACACTTTACACCATGGCAGCGTCCGCAGGAGGTGGAGGACTACTATTTGGAATCAATTGTTGGAAAGGTTACTGGCCAGTACAAGGTTCCATTCGGTGATGCCGTTATCAGCACGAGAGATACATGTCTGGGTCTTGAGACATGCGAGGAGCTTTTTACCCCTAATGGGTAAGTTTTGAGCTCTCTGTGTGACTTTTGATGCTAATAGTCGATCATAGCCCCCATATTCCATATGGCCTAGCTGGTGAGTCTCAATGTCCAGACTACCGTGCGCTCGTTGTCTAACATGAATTAGGCGTCGAGATCATCTCCAATTCTTCGGGCAGCCACCACGAACTGAAGAAGCTCGACACTCGGATCAATTTGATCACCCAGGCTACCAAACTAGTGAGTGAAAAGTAAAGTTACAGTAGGACATGACTTTTCTTACACCTCACAGAGTGGTGGAATCTATCTTTATGCCAATCAGCAAGGCTGCGACGGCGATCGTCTGTACTATGATGGATGTGCCATGATTGTCGTCAACGGAGAAATCGTGGCCCAAGGCTCACAGTTCTCCCTGAACGACGTGGAAGTCGTCACTGCAACAGTCGACATTGAGGAAGTCCGCACATACCGGTGCAGCGCAAGCCGTGGAATGCAAGCGAGCAAGCAGTCGCCCTATGTCCGCCTTGATCTTGATATTAGACTTTCTCGCCGGGATGAAGATGCCGAGCCTAGCCTCGCGACTTCTCAGCCTATCAAGCCGCGGTACCATGCTCCCGAGGAGGAGATTTCTCTGGGGCCCGCCTGCTGGCTATGGGATTACCTTCGCAGATGTGGAGCCGCCGGTTTCTTCCTTCCTCTGAGCGGTGGTATTGACAGCTGTGCCACGGCGATCATTGTGCACTCCATGTGTCGCGAAGTGCTCAAAGCAGTGCGCGAAGGCAACGAGCAAGTCATCAAGGATGTCCGACGATTGTGTGCGAAGCCAGAAGATTCAGAGTGGCTTCCTACCACCACCCAGGAGATTTGCAAGTAAGTCTTCCAACTGTTGGGCCTGTCAGGCCAAACTTTTCTATCGTCTTAGTCTGGGTCAACATTGACCGATTCTTCTAGATCTATCTTCCACACTAGCTACATGGGCACACAAAACTCAGGCCAGGATACACGGGATAGAGCAACTCGACTGGCCAGTGATATTGGTTCTTATCACATTGACTTCAATTTCGATACTGTGGTCACTTCTATCATGAATCTCTTTACTGTTCTCACTAACTTCCAGCCTCGTTTCAAAATGCACGGCGGATCTCCAGCAGAGAATGCCGCCCTTCAGAATGTGCAGGCTCGCCTCAGAATGGTTCTCTCATATCTGTTTGCCTCCTTATTGCCGACTGTGCGTCAACGCCCTGGTGGTGGTGGCTTACTCGTTCTCGCATCGTCTAACGTTGATGGTACGTCTCCCAAATATGCACCATACCTTGTTGAACATCTTGATTGACCATTATTACAGAATGGTACGCCACGTAGACACACTAATTTCCTTCCTGGTAACTGACCCAACCCATCTAGTTTACGAGGCTACCTCACCAAGTACGATGCCAGCTCCGCCGATGTAAGCACCAATTCCCTTAAGCCTAGCACGGCCTTTCTTCCCAACTAACCAAAACAACCAGCTCAACCCCATCGGCTCAGTGAGCAAAGTCGACCTGAAGAAATTCATTTCCTGGTCCGGCCGAAGCTTCGGCCTCCCAATCCTCGAAGAATTCATCCACGCAACACCCACCGCCGAACTGGAACCCATCACACACGACTACGTTCAATCGGACGAAGCCGACATGGGCGTTACATACGCGCAGCTAGGCGTTTTCGGGTACATGAGGAAAGTCTCCAAGCTCGGCCCGTACTCTATGTACGAGAAACTGCTTCACCTGTGGGGTAACGAGTACAGTCCGCGCGAGATTTACGAGAAGACTCGCCATTTCTTCTACCATTACTCTATCAACAGACATAAGATGACTGTTCTCACGCCTAGCTACCATGCTGAGCAGTACTCGCCTGAAGATAATCGTCATGATCTGAGGCAGTTCCTTTGTATGTTGTTCTCGTTTTTGGGGTTGTGGGGTTGTGCTAACTTTGTTTGTGTAGACCCGCCGTTTACTTGGGCGTACAAGAAGATGGAAGATAATGTCAAGTACTGGGAATCTAAAGGGTGGACTACTGGTAAGGGAGCGAAGAAGAGTGTTAAGGCCGATTAGATGTACATCGTTTAAAATTTTCAAAATGTTTTGCGTACCTGCTTAAGTCTTGCTTGATAACTATTAAAGGCTCCATGGCAATTAAGATCAAGTAATAACTATGTGGATTCCTGAGATATATCAAAAAAGCTTGGATTACGTTTCCATGTGGCATGAGGAAGGCAATAATCGAATGTACACAGAGCCAGGTGACTGGAAACCAGGTTTGAAAGCAAACGGCGAAGAGATAAAGGAAACGCCATCCGGAAAGCAGTGGAACATGCAAATCGTAAAATGAGGAAACACGCCGAAGATTCAGACATAAAAGGTCATATTAAAGGTCATAGCCAGGGAAGATCGGCGTTCGTCGTAGAAATTGTCCAAACAGAGGCCTAGTCTTTCCAGAACCAACCGCTCTTCGGCTTGTCGGACTCAGATCTAGAATGCAAAGCCTCCTGGGGACGAGACACCTCAACAGACTCGTCACTTTCCTCTCGGCCATCTGCGAAACGTCTTGTATTGACGACCTTGCTCTCAACTGAGCCATCGGGAAGCCGCACACGTTCCGTTCGAGTCATAGTGGAGATGACACGAGGCTGCGCTGGTTCCGAGATAGCTTCGGCTGGTTTGGTGGCGATTTCGGTCGGCAAATCCCTGGGCGTTTCAGGGACAGATTTCTTGTTCCCGCCAGACACAAGATCGATCCAATTCTCATTATCGTCGTGGCTGTGCTGGTCCCCGGCCTTTAGAGGGATGCGCCTGTATTTCTCAAGTTCTTCCTGTTGCTCCCGTCGCTCATCCAGGAGGAGACGCAGAAGAGGGCTTTCGGAGACACCGCGGAAGAATTCACGTTCGCGGTTTTCGATGTCATGCAAGAAGCGTTCGTATAGGTCTAGCTCGCTCTCAGCCTCCTTCGTATCTGTAAATGCTTTCTCTTTCTCGGGTAGAGAACGAGGGCCTGCACGACCAGATAACGTAACGCCGGACCAAGGCTGGCCATCTCTGCCAGACACATACTTCCACTTATCTCCCAAGCTGCCTCTTTTAACAAGCCCTTGTAGCCAGTCCTTGCCGGACTCGGATCTCGCGGTGGAGGCATTGCGATCGAGCATCGGCTTATCGTTCTCGAGTCGAAGTAAATCCTCAAATGCTTCTCGCCACTGGAGTTCGGAAGGGTCACGGTCGGAGTTGAGATGCAAAGATGACATGAGAGATGAGAAAACGCCCTTCTCCCGGTGCATTTGGTATTGTGCTTGGCGTTCTAGATGCAGAGGCGAGTATGGGCTGAACAGGATATACCCGATCGGCCAGGTTGGTGAGTCGGTGTCCTCAAACATATCCCGGAGAAGGAGGTTGTGGCCGGAGTGTAGGAGTTGTGATGCAAAAGGGAAGAACCGGTCCTCGAAGAAGCGGTCGAAGAAGGAATCGAGGCCGAAGAAGTCGGATGGTCCATTACACCACTTTCTCCACGAATCGTCGTTTTCAGGCCAGCGTGGTCGTGAATTATTTCCATAGTTGCGTGGGTCATCTCCATCTCGGTCTGTTGGATAGCTGCTGTTGTCCGTATTATCACTGGTTCTTTGACGAGAGATCCGATTCTGGTGGCCCTGGTTATCTGCGAATATATCCCAGTGGCCGCTGTGAGGCTGTGTTACCATCGAGGGGAGGCCCGTGATAGATTGAAGCATGGTGGAGACCTGCTCATCGGCGTAGCGCCGGAAGGCGACAAACGGGTTGTTCTCATCATCAGGCCAGTCTTTCTGAGTCGAAACGTCCTTGCGGTTAATGTCTTCGTTCCCCATGATTATGACAAGATCAGAGAATAACAATAGATACTACCTTGGTAGGCTGATGGAGGGAAAAGTGAAGAGATGCAGAGTTGAATACATGTTGGGGAGCCCCACTCGGTCCCACGTGATCCCCAATGTATTTTTGTTTTTGCATTGTTTTTTTCAATGTTTTGTTTTCTTCATGTGCCCTATTCCCCAGTGTGACTTTACAATATATGATACTCTGTCCTTCTACTATTCTTAATTCAATTCGATTTGAGAATTGTCTAACAAGCACATTACATATTTATTCTACACGATCACAATTGCGCTGAGCCGCTGGCGTCATTGCAAGGCTGAAGCCCCACAGCAGTTAAAGCGGGAACCATAGTTTAACCTCCGAACTATGGGGACAAGAGTCGAAAAGAATCCATTTTTGGGGGAAAGTTGAACGAATAGGCCATTGGATTATAAGGTCTGTCAGAAGAGAATAGAGTACTAAGGATGATGGATCTTTGGGGCAAAGTATTGAATGGTTCAAACTGAACTTCAAGAATGCTCGATATGTAGCCATACAGACTACTAGGTAGGTATTCTCGTTGGATAAAGCCGAAGCTCTATACAGTGTAATGTAAATTATTAATACCGCATCTCTATATTTTTAAGTGGTTACATCTAAGTCCATTTAAAGCTTCATTTCTATGCATGGGCCAGAGGAGAGGTAAACGGTGCAAAAATACGGCGATGGGTTTGTATAGGATGTTAAATGACACCATTCTGGAAGGTCGAAAGAAAATAACACAACATTCTCATGAAGATAACGTGTACCCCATCCTACATATGCGCTCGTCCTTGAGACTCCCATGCTTCATCAAATCCAGTAGAGCGAACCCACATTGGTCTATCTCCGTCCTCGACAGTCGAGTCAACAGCTGTCGAGCAGTTAGTTAAATAATAATAATAATAAAAAGTTACAACCTCAGGTCCTGCTGCTTACCTATATTCCCAATCCTAAGCCACATATCTCCCTTGATCGGCATCTCGGGGTGTTTACTCTCATATGCCTGGCAGATTTTCTGACCATGCGCCAAAGCCCGTGCTAGCTTGGCTAGATGTCCATCATCACCGGGATGGGCGATGCTTCGCGCGAAGATCTGTGACCAGTCCTCCTTCACGGGATAACTTGCTACCTCATCAAGCAGAAGGTCCGGTGTTCCACGTGAAGTATACATCAGAAGATCGATGCGTCCCTTCCATTCCAGCATGCGCAGCTTGGGTAGCTGATCCAAGAATGTGAGGTTCATAATCTTAGATAAGAAGATGGACGAATTAACACAATGGATGAAGAAGAAATCAAGTCTCATCTCTCTGGTCGGACGCTGCGCGGCACTGGTATAGTAGACTGGGATGAATTCAGCGATAGCTCCTCACTCACATCTCTCAAGCAATACCGTCAAATACTTCCAAGGCTAGACTTACCGACTGTATTGATCATATCTGCTAACCGCTCCTCCACCTGATCCTCAGACACAGTGAATTGCGAAGCATACTTCAGCATCTGCTCCGGTGCTCTATGAAGCACCCCATCCATGATCTTATTACTGTCGGACCACTGCACACTCTTAATAAGAGTCTTGTCTGCTTGCATCTCATTTATGAGCTGGAGCGTCGACTTCTGTCCCGACTTTCCAATACCGCCAGCCATCTTTTCCGCGGGTAGGAAGAACGCACGACCCAGCCAGTCATCATGGACTGCTGTCTGGGCAAGACCTTGCGCTACAATGGCAGGTTGGTTGAACTCTATGCCGAAACCGAGCTGGATGAGCGGGTGGACAAGGCCTAAATTGATTAGCCCGAGGAACATACAATATCAATATAACTCAGTATGGCTAGACGTATATACTTACCGCCAAACATCCGACACATCATACCCTCAGCTCGCTCATCCCCGGCGAAGACATACTCCTCCAGGACCTCACCAACGCCCTTTGCATCGATCTCGTGCTGGAAGAAAGCTAAGTAATTAGGGTAATGTTCTTCCTTCCCAAAGCACTCTTGGAATTTAGCGACATCGTGCATAGATTGAATGACATCTTGGTTGGCTGGAAGGGCAGGTCTCTGATAAGTCTTATTCCGTTCATAGCAAGCCTTGATATCCTCTGGTGCTGCGCCAAGAGCATAGATACTAAGCAGCTGATGAGGTATGTGATCTGTTTCTATATTAGAGATAGTTCTCGGCGGGGACTTAGCCTTAAAAGAACATACTATGGAAGTGTTGGTCATTAAAGAAGACATGGTGGATCTCCAAGTCTTCCTGCAAAATCTCACTCACTGTCCGCGCAGTGTCTTCCCTCACTCTTGAGCTATAAATGCCGGAATCTGTCACCGGTGACAGATTAATATTAGTAGCGGTGGCCATTTTGGATGAAGTCACGCGGGACAAGTTCCCGGTGTTGGAAGTATACAAGCTGTATTGCGCGGCTAGTCGCGGGAGGGATAGAACAGGTGGGAATGTTGAAGCCGAAGAGACAGCTGTTTGAAACGATGGGCGTAGACTGGAATAGCAGCGAGTACTATTCAACAAGAGAAGCCAAGAATTGTTTGTAGTTGTAGGTTTTGATCTGAACAAATGATGCTTGTGACACTGAAGAACGCGGGGAAGCATGTCCTTTATATATAGCTCAAGCCATCCGGGGTATAGTGATATAATTAGAGCTGTACAACTGTCAGATTAGCTGGACGGTTCTACAGGAAATCCAATCCAGCAATTGAACCTATCAAAGTGGTATAATTATTAAATCTGAATAATGGTCTAAACATGAACGTCGGACTTTCGGCTTTCCGTGGCGATCGACACGTCATAGGAATCCGTTTCAATCGGTCAGCAGTTGGGGCCCAGCCCTGGAGCTCGTATCTGTCCCTTCGGGAGAAAAAAAAAAAAAAAAGAATTCAAAGAGCACCGAGCGTGGATCGAACACGCGACAACCTGATTTGCAATCAGGCATTCTACCACTAAATTACCGATGCAGCAGACCCTAGACCGTTAGGTTGTCGGGGCTGGCTTGAATGTATTTGAGGATCTAGAGACATATAGCACAACGAGAGCAAGTCCTAAATCGGAATGAGTTGTGGTTAAAAACCACCATCCCAGACCCTAATCTATATTCTATATTAGTATTTTTGAGGCAGTACAAGACAAGGATGTATCTTACTGTTATTGCTTTAATATCTGTAAGATATTTATATCTTAACGTTCATAAGGATGGATTCCCTGACTACGGTTCCGGGATCCACCTGTTTAGTTTTTTACGGGCTTCTACCTAGGTATTAACCTGCTTCCAATGCTGATCTGATATTGGTGAAGTTTAAGCGGTTTAGAAACTTGCGGGAACTTTGGTTCGTGGGGCTGAACCCCGAGGTTATAGCTTCCAAGGTTCATTCCAATGGGATACCCATGGTAGACCCCAACATATCCGGAAAGTTAATATTCTTCAGTTATAATCAATATCTCAAATCCAATGGCTATAGCGAGTCCAATCTCTCAATGTCAAAGAACAATCCAGGTAGGAGCTCAACTTTTCCCTCCTTCAACCCATTAAACACCAGCCGAATGGATGCATCCCCTCCAGACAGGGAAACCTCATGCTTGCCGACCGTCGAGCCAGAAGGAACTTCATACCTCCAGGGTCCACCAAATATCGCATCATACGCACCCTTAAAATTTGCAATCCCCGAATCGGGGACTTGCACCGACACAGAAGAAATCCCCTGCACGCCATTCGGATGTTGAGCGAGATTTGGCTCAATCTCATAAGGGACACGGTTTGCGCGAGGTGTTCTGTCCAGACACCAGAAGGGTAGAGACCCGGGAACGACCTTTCCTTGACCATCTTTAGGGACACAAACTGCCCATTTCAACACGGTGCCATCTGGTTTGGTGCGACCGCCGGCGATAGGGTCTGTATAGGAAGTATTGGTATCAGCGCGCTGGAATCGCTGTTGGATGGCGCTAAAGTCGTTTTCCGATGGCAAAGTGAAAGCCCAGTCGACGATGGTGTCTTCTTTCTCGTTTCCCCAGCGATGGTTACGGCGTTTCTCCGGGTCGATGTCGTCGAAGAAGGCAATTATTTCAAGGTAAACGCCATCCGGGAGGAGAATCAGCTTGTTCGTGGTGAGTCCATCGGCGTGGGTTCCACCTGGTGCTAGGGTGAACTGGCTCTCAATATGTTCAGAAATTCCGAGGAGTGTTTTGTGGGAAACGAGTAGGACAATATGGTCAAGGATGGGGGTTTGTTGTTCAGACATTATGCGATATAGTGAGGGATTGGGATTGAAATCGGATAATGTTGTGAAGGCAGAGTGTAGGATCAAATGTTCCCCGCATTGTATTTATATTTGGAGAGGAACCCCTCACTCTTACGCCAAGAGAAAGTAGTTCTCTGTTCAATCGATGATTTTATATTGCACAGCTTGATGGCGATCTAAAAGTTGTCTATTGCTCATAGTACCCTAACCTAATTGATCCGAAATGGTGCAATAATGGAGCATCGGAGAATCAACTTCACAAAAATCAAATAGGATCGTACTCATGGTTTAGTTCAATTATGTGTGCTGTTTAGTCAATCTGAGTCTCGAATTGGTAGATAGTACATCTCTATATGTGATGTAACCTCCATATTGACAACCTGTGTCATTTCGAGCCATTCTTGAGGTATTCGACACCGCCGTTATCTTTCTTGAATAGGAATGCAGGTCCTCCCAATTATTTCCCTCCCATATTTATTATTTGGAAATACACCTGATTTATCCATAAGGTTCGAAATAGAAGTACACTTTAACTGCTTCCAGCTGTCGAATAATAACAGTCGCTGACAGTCGTTACACATTGCCAGGTTTAACGACGGAAGACTCAAGTGGTGGACGGATCGCCAAAGAAGATGTACTGCCTACATCAGACCTAGTATCGAATGTCACATCCTCAAGGGAAACGTCGGCAGCCACTCCCCCGGTGACTCTAGTAGGCGACCTCCGGTGTGATCTAGATTTGACGATAGAAGCCCACTGGGCTTTGAATATACGGAGTGCGGTTGATGTGTAGATGATTGCGTTCCAAACCCCTTGAAGAGATAGAACTAATGCCCCGGCCAAGTTCAACCCAAAATTCGGTTCGCTGGGATTGATCAACGCGTAAATTCGATTCACAAATGACGGTAACTAGGGCGGTTGCCCAGGTGTCAGTGACGGCTTATGAGAGGATTGAGTAAAAAGGAGCATTTCCATACCCAGGTAGCAACCATGGCCATGAAGAAGAGAAATGAGTATCTCAAGTAGCTCCACATTGCATTGTTCTTGTTAGCTTGGATGTCTAACCCGCTTCTAGTGCGTGAATGTTGGGATTCGATGGAGGTTGAATATAGCATCGCTGGGCCACTACCCGAGCCTTTAGCTGCAGTAGCGGTCACATCGAAAGAAACCGATTGAGTAACGCTCAATGCTCTATTGACGGGTAGTTCATATTTGGCCGTTTTTAGAGCTTTATACTGTCGATAGATCCGGACGCCAGCTGTGGCATAGATCGCAAAGGTTGCAATACTGACTACCCTGCAAAAGGGAATTAGATGGGAAGTTGGTAGAAGATATTGTATGACCTACCAGACTGGACCATAGAAACACACCAAACGTAGAAATTGCCACGGTTCGGTGATTGAGCACCATATCTAACGAGGAGTCAGTTCTATGCTGGGCATAATCCGCAGGGCACAGTCTGCACCAGGAACCTACCAAGGCTGGACCATAAATCCTACCTCTTCCGGTGGTCTTGATGACGCTCAAGGTCGTCGCGAGGATGAGTGGTAACCCGTAACAGAACAGAAAGTACCACTTCTCAAGCTTCTTGAGGTCTTCTCCCGAGTATCTCCGGTAAAAAGTGAGATATATGTTAACTGCCATACAAAACGACCATAGGGAGTCTGTTGGCATCCAACTTTCCTTGGGAGATTAGCTTCCAATTCTTTTGCGGATAATGGCCAACATACTATTGAATAAAGAATGCTTGGGCGAGACATAAAGCAGAATGCGGACCCGCTATCACTCCATCTCTGCTCATCAAAGATGCAACGGCGGCGAAGGCATTCCCAAAAGATGCATAAAATATCAGTCTATTGACTGGTTTGCGAAAAGCGTTTGAAGCACAATACGTTGTCACAATGAACGCACATCCCAGCAGAGAAGCGCTACCTCCCACTCGTTCTGCTATTGCGATAGCCCGAAGTTGCTCGTCGGTAAAGGGCATTGAGTTGGGTTAGAATGACACTTTGCGGCTCGACTTGGAGCCTTATAGATCTTTGTATGATCAAAAGAGTCTCCATGGCCATGTGGATGAGAAGAACACGTGGGGGCGATAAAGATGGATGAACCTGGAGAGCACGATCATTCGCCGGGCCGTCATTTATATGGGACAAAGGAAAACACTTGGCTGAATTCAAAATATCCAGTCAACAAATAGACTCCTTTAATTCCCCGCACAAAGAAAAGTTCAAAATATGTAGACGTCATACACCCCGTGATATCTTTTCCGTGATAAAATCTTTTAGGAATATCTACTGTACCTGTAGGCTGGTAGATATTCGTAAATTTAGCCTCTGCTAACTTTTCAAAGGGGTAATCAGCCTGTATATGATACCCATCCATGCTCTTGGGGCTGTCAGAGAGCGGAGAGACAGAGAAGAAGGATTGATTCTCTATATACAAACACGAAGCTAGTTAGCTAACTAAATAGCTACCTAGGTAGGAGAGGCCTGGCAAGCAAGGCACCAATGCCGGTGGCTCTCTCAACACATGGACATCTGGATAACGGAAAGTCAAGGGTGAAGGTAAAGTAGACCAAATCCAGGGCTAGAGAACACAAACTTCACAATCTTTCATAATCCTTGGACTCGGCAAGGCAAACTAACGGCGGTGATGGAATTCCATGGCTCTCACATTACTTGAGGGAAATACCGCGTACCTCAACAGAGTGCAAATCGGCTGATCCCCCAATAACCTCCAGGGACAGCCCATCGGAGGTCTCGCTAGGGAAAATCAGGTTTGAAATCACAACTTCTCCTTCCCCTCCAAAGACCTCCACAGAGCAAGTGTCGACTAGGACACGGAGATTGATAACCCCAGAACCATCTGGTTTCAGGGAAGCACTGTGGACTCCACCTGCAGCGGGGTCGTAGGAGATATCTCCACTCATCGTTCGATCAACAGATATCGTCGAGTGTTTCTGGTCATACTGGATTGTTGTCTGCTCCGACGCAGCCTTGCGCACTTTCAGAGAGATTTTGGCGCCTGCGTCGATGGTAAAGGCAAGTTTAATATCTAACGCGGTTCCGTGGATGGATGACAGCAACGGTTTGTCGGCGGTAATAGTTTGATTCTGGATTGTCGCCAGCGAGGAACCAGCGAGGGCAATCTCGGTGACAGGTTGCTGAAGGAAGTATCGCTTGGAGTCGGTTTCCTTCAGGGTAATGGTGCGAGGGAAAGACAGCATTCCTTTCCAGGTCTTGGTTGGTGGGCTAGCGCCGTAGCTGTTCATGACAGAGGCAAGGATACGCCGCCCATCTGCTGCAGCAACATTTTCCCAACTGTAGGCACCGTCAAAATCACGACCATAGTCGAGCCACAGAGTAGAAGGGTCGACGGGGTCAGCTTTGAATGTTGTTCCATCAAAGGAACCTGTCAGGGCTAGAACACCATTACCACCAGCGGGTGATCCGTCCGCCGGGGTTATAATCAACACCCAGGTGGTCTCGTCGGTCCCCTCGATAGGGAGCTGGAACATATCAGGCACCTCCCACCCAGTGATTCCAGAGGGTAGACCGTCAATCTGGTCAGCGGAGAGGTCGCTCTTCCACGTCCAGGACTTTGCGTCCGACGATGTCCAAAACGTCAGCTTGTCCTGTCCGCCATGGGCAAGGACCATGACCCATTTCCCAGATGCCTTGTGGAAAAGACCTTGGGGTCACGGCTTTCCAGCCCCTGTGTCGTATCATGCGGCGACTCCTGGGCGGCTGAGATAATGGGATTTTCCGGGTATTTTGTCCAGGTCACGCCATCGTCAACACTAAAGGCAAGACGCTGGTCCTGGGTCCCGTTGGAAGGAAAGTACCCTGTGTACCATGCCAGATAAGGGGGCTGGTAGAAGATCCCAGACCAGAGGTGTTCTCGGCATCAAAATAGGCAGTGCCAGTGAACGCTTCGACGCCGTTCTCGCTTGTTATGGCAAGGGGCTGGTGAGTCCACTGGACTAGGTCACTACTGGTTGCGTGGCCCCAGTTCAGATTGCCCCAGACATTCGCCGTTGGGTTGTGCTGATAGAACAGATGCCAGGTTGATTTGATCTTAATCAACCCGTTGGGCTCGTTCATCCAGTTCTCCTTAGGGACAAAATGGTAGACTGGGCGGAAGTCATCCGCCAGAGCCAGGGTGGCGAGTGCGAATGCTAAGGCTCGGAACATGGTTGCTGCAACGTTCAGATGTGCTCGTAAAGCGATGATGTGCTGATATCCACCACACTCAGTGCTGGCGACGAAGGTAATTTATACCCTCAGGATGGCCAAGGACATCATTATTCACACCAGCTTCAACTTCTAGTTTGCTTCAGATAGAGTACCTCCTGACTGCCTCCGTGATTAATACTGCATATCATCCCTGCATCTCACCCCGCATACTTGCCCGGAAGAATTTTGTGAATATCGCGGGCCGTCGGGTCTGCTCCGCGATGACCCTGGAGCCTAGATTGATAATTCGAAACGTCGTATTGTGCGGGAAACGCCTTGGCTTGCGGATTCCGATATCCACATATTAATCCGGGGTCTGGGGAAATTCGTCAGGTTAACATTTCAGATTGATCCTTTTTTTTTTTCTGAAAGTGGCATAGAACCTCGCGGATGTCTATAGCCACCGCGATAGCCAACTGCAACCACTACCTTTTCGGTCAGACCAACGTCAGATCCACAATAGCCGTGAATAACTCCGCGGTGAAGATGTTCAAACTTGGACTTTGACATACTAAAAGTACATAACTATTATGTTTATTCATCATCTCCGTGCAGATCGTTGAAGCGGCTCGGACCAAGATATCCACTTTGGGGTCAAAACGCCAAGCTTATACTGTTAGTATACGGAGTACATCGGCAGCAGACAATGGGTTTGACTACTTAGAGTCTCAAAATCAATGAGCGGTTTATTTGTTGAGGGGCAACCCTTCCTGACAGGACGCCCCATCAAGGCCAAGAACGCCAAGATAGGGCTAGACGCTTCGTGAAGTCCGGATGTCTTACCTCATTAGGGTGTACATATGGTTGTACATTGAGATAGCTGGAATATGTCCGCTTTCTAGGCTCTCCTTTGTCAATTCTAACCCTGCAGTGCTTTCTGTTCTTAAGGTCTCACGTTTTCATTATCTCCACATACAATCATTCATTCAGACTCAAACTTCCGTAGTTCTCCATTCTCTCTTTATTCTCCCCTTATTTATCTTGCTAGCGTGAGCCCTAAACCGTTAGAGTCAAAGACCCTCCTCCCGCATCGCCTTTACAACACTCTCACGCTTCACCACAGTCTCCGTAAGAGCACAGTACTTGGGGAACTCGGCCTTCAAATCCATTCCGAAAGTCGAATGTGCCCATCGCCAAAATACCAACAAGTAAACATCGGCCGCTGTAAATTTGTTACCAACGGCATGGACGCCGTCCAGTCGGTCCTCAACGATCTTGAAGCTGGCAAGCAGCGCCTTCTTCGCCTGCTCTTTGATTCCGACATGTACATCCGCATCTTCAGAGACTGTGAAGCGCTGTGGCCGGAAGAAAGCTGCAAATCCAACGGCGTGAACAGCGCTTCCGAGCCAGGAAAACCATTCGTAGACTCGAATTGGGTCCATGGTTCCAGCTGTGCCGAGAAGGTTTTTCTCGGGGACCTGGTTGCTGATGTAGGTCATTATAGCGATGTTCTCGGTGATGATCTCGCCGTTGGCGATGAGGAGGGGAACCTTGCCCTTGGGGTTCAGGCGGAGTAGCTCATCTGATATGGATCCATTGGTCTCGGCGGAGGTGGTGAATGGAAGGCCCGCTTCGTGGAGGAGGATGTGAGGAAGCAGCGAGCAGGCGCCTTTCATATAGAAAAGCTTGATTTCACTCATTGTGGGTAATTTGCGTCTCTAGGAAAATATGCTAATAAGGTGGTTGTAGATAGAGGGGGACTTGGAGATGCGAAGAGGGGTGTTGGAAGTGGTGCAACGTGAGTTCCATATGAGATTCTGCTAGGATTGCATGGTTATTATTAGGTAGATATAGGTAGTACTAGACACTAGCTAAGTATGTTGTAGTTATAACTAACTACGGAATATTCCGTACTCAGTTCTCGACTTGGTTTATAAGCAACAAGTTGCGCCAACCGCTGATAAATTGCAGGTCTAGACTTTCTTGGCCTAGCCCCGCTAAAACATTCCTGTACAATAGTTATATAGTTATACCTAGTTAGGTAGTTGTTCGGTGCTGGCTTACTTATTTTGATGATTGCCTAGGTAGGGTCCACTCCACGGGTTGTGGATCTAGATTCCTCTATAGTACAAATCATATTTTTTTCTAACTTACTATTTGTTTTTCTAATACGGTGATTACTCGGGGGTATCTGTCATTCTGGGGTGCAGGAGAAAAGGTCAAGTACTAACGCGCCCAAGGAAAGCAAAAAACAGCACATGCATCTCAGCTTTTAGTCCTCTGTCTCCCTCTCCTTCTTGCGGCGTTGTCGGTCTCGTTCCATCTTCTTGAACAGCGGGTGATGTCCAGCCTTATCCTTGAGCTGCTTGTTTCTGCTCTTGTTGTACTCGATATAGGCCATATCATCACCTCCAGCTAGGCCACTAAGAGTAGCAGCACTGCGTTTAGCACCTCCTTTCTTGGCTGTCACTCTCTTGCCAGAGCGCATTGAGAACAGATCGTCATTGACCTGTTCGACATCGGCGGATGACTCATTCTGTAGCATGACCTCTTGCAGAAGTTCGCGACGTTCCGCTGGCGTCGCGTACGAGAGTCCTTCGTAATTGTCTATGCCTTGGAGATGGGTAATGACCTTGAAAGCATAACCCTGATCGATCAGGAATGCCTGGCGTTTGGCCGAGTACACCATCTCATTGGTGTCCTTAGACACGAGCGAGTAGAAGAAAGCATTGAAGCCCTCGTCGTTACGGCGCTTGGCTCGCAGGATTCGTCCCAGGCGCTGGGCCTCCTGACGACGTGAACCGTAGTGGGACGAGATCTGGATCAGACAAGTGGCCTCCGGTAGATCGAGTGATGTGTCGCCAATCTTGGACAGGAAGATAGTGTTGACCTGTTCGTTGTGTTGGAAATTTTCCAGGATACGCATGCGCTCGTTTTGAGGAGTTCCACCGTAAATGTAAGCCTTGTTCAGCTTGAGCGCATATCGCTCCAGAGCGTAGACATTGTCAGAGAACACGATGATCTTATCGCCGCGCTTCTCGTGGAAATCGATCAGGAACTGACACGCTTGGAACTTGCGAGGATTCATGATGTATAGCAGAGCTTGTTTCCTGGAGCTTTCCCGCAGATACTCAGAGTAGAACTCGGTTGTCATAGGGCACCATACCTCGGCACATTGGACCTTGGCGATATGGCCCTGTGCAGCCAGTTCCATCCAGTTTGCTTCATAAAGCTTCGGTCCGATCAAGAAGTTCAAATCTTTGATCTTGTCGTCCTCACGTAGCAATGTTGCAGTGAGACCCAGCTTGCTCTGGGCGGCGATTGCAGATGTGACCTTTCGGAACATCGATGCTGGCACAACGTGCACCTCGTCAAGAATCATCATACCCCATTCTCTCGATTGAAGCCAGTCCATCATCTTCTGGGCATCGTAAGACCGAGCACGGGTCTGCGACACCATTGAGTATGTGGACACAATAATACCAGTTGACCGCTTGAATTTTTCTTTGTGGTCCGATGTGAAAATGGCGATATCACCTGGGTCGATGGTTGTCCACCGCAAGAACTCGTTTCGCCACTGAACCACGGACATAGAACTGGTGCAGAGGACGATGGTGCCTTTCTTGATAGTCGCCGCAGCAGTGATACCCACAAGAGTTTTACCGGCACCACAAGGAAGCACAATAATACCACTCTTGGCACGTCCGTTACCAAACATTTTACTTAAACTCTTCTCCTGGTAGGACCGAATCCGCGCCGCGGGTTTCAAATCCATATCCAGATTTGGATTGACTGTGTCTCCTTGGAAATCGTACTCTTCCAGGGCAGGGCATCCGATCGATTGACAGCGGGCCTTGACCACTTCGACGCCAGCAGCGGGGATTTCGAAACTGTACGTGATTGCTTCTTCAGTCTCATCCTCGCCAATGTCATCGATGCCATAGTTCACGGCCCCCCCGTCTTCGGTCTCATTTCTAGCTATGGCAGCGGCAGCCTCCTGTTGAGTGGTCTCTCGCACACCAGCTGCATCTTTCGTTCCAGGAATGACAAGACCACCCATTTTCGGAGCAGCCCGTTCGATGATTCCTTCGGTATTATCCATTCGCTGCGGCCCGATCACTTCATCTTTCAGCAAACGCTGAAGCATTTCAGGATCTGTCGTTTCCACATAGTATCGATTATGCCTCAACACCATCTTAATTTTTCCATAAGACTTTGTGAACTCGATGATGAACGTCCGAATGCTTTCGGGGAGCGGTGTTTTCGACAGACGGTCCAAGAACTCAACGATATCCTGCGGTTTAAGACCGACCGAAACCGCGGCATATAAACTGTGTCCAGTCAAACGATATTCGTGGAGATGAGTCGGACGGGAAAGCGGTTCCGCGATGGTGGTCAGGAAATCTTGGGCCTGGGGTGCCAGAGGGGAGAAACTCTCGAGGGTGATTGTGCCTTTCAAGGGCTCAATCCATAACGGCCGGTTGTAGTGGTCGCGCTTCAGTGGGAGCGAAGAAAGATCTTTGTATCCGAATCTGGGGTCCGTCTTCTCCACTTGGTTCTTCTTGCTGAACGCCTCAAGGGAGAACTTATTGACCACCGCTTTATGGCCCAATTTTAGTCTCTGGTTCACTTTAGGTGAGCAGACTGCCACACTGTACCTTTCAGGTTGGATTCCTCCGGCAACTCTTCCTGGTCCGAGTATTCATCGCCGCTGGAAATGTCGATATCGGGGACTGGCGTAGCCCGCTTCGAAGCACCGCTAGACCGACCAGCTGGATATAATCAGTGACTTGTCATTTGGAGATATGTATCAGAAACTTACTGTCGGCCGCTTTGCGTTTGGGAGGCATGTTTGAACTGTGTTCAGCAAGACAAACGAAACAGCGCAGGAAGTCTGATCAAATAGTATATCTCAGTGAGTGAGTCACCGGTGAGGCGGAGCAACGCCCCCCGTTTAAAGTATCTCACGCCAGCATGGAACCAAGATGCTGCGCCGGATGAACAGGCGGCGAAAAAAGATCGAGGGTTTATTGCGAAACAACGGGACAAGTGTCGATGGGCAGTGATCGTCAGAGACGGCGAAAAAAGCCTTCAGTGGAGGTTGGGGTGTCGACTAGAGCGACAGTATATATATGATGGAGAAGATGATCAAGCAACGGTCGTCCTTAACGTTCCCGGTTGATAATCTTGGTTGATAATCAGTGGCCTGAGGCAGAAATTACGATCATTGGTCCGTGCATAACCCGGGTCCGACCTCGGGACTCTCTCGGACTGACGTAGAGCGTCCTTTTCTATTCTGTTTTACTTCACACATCTCTCAACTACCACATTGTTCACCATGAATACGGTAATTTCCTCTATCCAATGCCTCCTCAATGTCGCTAATTGTCTCATCTTCTAGATTCGATCTACCTGGTGAGCGAAGATACCTCGATCTGAAAAATAAAATAGAAACAGAACATAAATCCTGATATGGCTTTCGATTTAACAGGATGGGCTGGGGCACCCTTTGCCTGGGTATGTGACCTATGTGACCTATTGATTGATTGCTGGCCAAGTACCGGCGACAAATCCAGCAATTCATAAGGGAAGAAGCGACTAACCACATCCCCTATAGCCGGCGGCGGAGCTTACTATTTCGCAAAGCAATCGATCAATGCCGACAGACAAGCCCGATTCGAAGCCGAAGTCAAGCGCAAGGCGCAAATGAAGCAAATGGAGAACGAGCACAAGCGCCAAGCACAATTAGCCTCCACGCCAACCCCGGGCAACGACACTAGCAAACGAGCGAGCATGGCCCGATTCCAGAACGCCTCCGATGATGCCGCCTCGCCAAGTGCCGAAGCCTCCCACGATCCGGCGCCTACCCGACACGAACCCTTGACCGAGGCCGACCGTGTGTTGGAGAAGGGGAAATATGAAACGGCACAGCCGTACCGGCCTCCGAGTGGGAACCGGTTTAGTTGATCAGCTGGCGCGCTTTGTATACTATTTTGATACAGGATACTCTGTACGCAAACTGAAAAATAGAGGATTGTGGAACAAGATGGATATTCTGGAGGTAGGGAGTCCCTTGGACTCGATCTACTTTGTACTACATTTGGTTCGTTGCACTCGAGCTCCAAGTCAGTTCAGTAATGGATTAATTTGCACAAAGTTGGCTGTCTATCGATCCCTACCATTCATAGCAATGAGGTCTAACATGCCTCAACTCCCTCCTTGTCTCCACGTTCAATCGTAATAGTGTATGTAATAGCACGATCCCATAGTGCTAGTGTAAAAAAAAGAGAGAACCAGAACGCCAATTCCAAACTCCTTGGTCGTAATTCATCATATCGCAACCCTGGCAACCGAGTCTTGTACCAGCGCCTGCACCGACAGTCTCATCCAAATTGCGAGTCGTCAATGGTTGCGGCGATTAGCGCGCATGGAAGCAAAGTGGGGGGGTTCCTGTATATCAGGTTAGTTTCTCCACACCAGCTCGCATTGACTGGAGGAGTAGACTTTTTAATACTTACTTGGCGCTAGTAGAAATGCCGGAGCTCCGCTGTCGCGAACTCTCAAGAGCAGGTGGGACAAATGGGAGTACCACGCCAGATACGATGCAACCCATGGCGATGGCGCGGGCGACGCGAGAGTCTGGACGAGGACGGTGGGCTGAGAAGTGACGGATGGAAGGACGTGCGATTTGAGAAGCGAGGATGGAAGCCATGGTAAGAATCCTTGAGGGTGTGTGGTTTTGATTTTGATTTCGGAGTTGACTGGCAAAGCAGGATAGAGTGGTGTAGAGCAGAGTAAGATAAAATAGATTTAAATGATCAGAGAGACTTTATATTAAAGAGAGTAACAGAGTAATTAGCAGTCAGGCCATGCAATCGCGCAAGTGGCCCGGACATTGCGGGGCATTATGGTATATGGCCTGATCCTCGATGGGAATCCTCATCCGTGATCAGATGGTTGATGGATCGGCACTGTTTCCCTTACGCCATCGCGGGGGTTTCAAGTCACAAAATATGGGGATCTTTTTAGTGTCTATCTAACTATCTACATGTAGAAAGGTAGGCTTTGGACTTTCACCGCGTTAACTGCGGGAATATGGGTATGGGTATAGACCTTCTCTGCATTCAATGTTGGTAAAAAACATGTCTAGTTACATAAAACACATCCACAGGTAACTTTACGGATATGTTTACAGGTATGGATTGGCTGCTGGTATATATCCTACATGTACATATGTGCCAATGTCTCCAAGTGTTGTTACTACATATAATCTTTATGTTTAGATGGCCAATTTCCCTTCATTCCACTGTTTCACAATATCCATTCTAATCGACTCTTACTAAAAAGAGTAAAAAAAAAAAAAAAGGAAAAAGAAATGTTGCAAGCGGTGGAACTCACGCTCCTGAGAATTGCGGATTTGAAATCATATAAATGATTACCTAAACACAACGCCTATTTATTTCGTGTTAGTCTTTGACTTAGAGGACTTGCTGGATAACGGTTGTATTTACCTTAACCACTCGGCCACACTTGCGAATATAAAAAAAGATGAAAAGTTCAGGCTTAACTAGGACACCCCAACAGGGATGCTGTCTCACCAGCTTACTCCTTCCATACAACATACATGTACAGCATACCTAACGAACTAAAATTAACCAGCAGTATTATTTCCCCAAGGGACAGGATTAAATTTCTGTCTTTTTTGATTTTTGCTTCCTCACAGTTGCTTCTCGACATGCGCAACCCACTACAATGGCGTATATGGTCATGCATTTGACAGTTCAACTCAATATTTCAGCATTCGTGATCTGGCCAGTTCGGCTCATCTCCTCCATATTGTTTCCAGTCTGCAATAGGGAAACCAATCAAGTCGACGAGGAACAGCAACTTTCTGTAGGTGAGAGTGAGACCGTCGTTGATTTCGCTTCTGAACTTTTCTTTTAGACCGGCCATTAATCTGTTATAGATGCAGTCATTACCGAAAGTCCGTTGCACAACGGGCAATCGACTAGTAGCTCTTGGTAATTGACATATTTGTAGAGGATATTTTTGCTTTAGGGTCTACTCTCTATGAACTGGTCACTGGCAAGGCTCTATATAGTGAATTGAATGAGACAGCATCCGATGATCCTGATTATATCAAGGCACAGATTCGGCGACAACAGATCAATCAGATGTCCATCTCAACATATACCTCGGTATAATTTAGATCTATGAATAGAGCACGCAGGTTTATGCGACTGTGGAGAAATGGGACGCAGTAAAGTGTACATAAAATGATAAAATACCAGCTCACAATTAAGATGGTAAAAGCTAGCCCTACAGTATTCATACTAGGGAGAAGGTGAACTGAGAGATATAGTGATAGGCTTACAACAAAATAGGCTATTAAACTAATACATACATACTATGATCCATGGACCTCGGGCCGATCCGAATCATCCGATTACTAACAATGTTTGCCTCCTTCCAACGACGAGCAAACATCAGACGCCGCTAACCCACTTAGTTACTAGGTAGTATGCATGTATCCTAAATAGGTAAAAATAGTCGGGGCGATTTTGTGAATAAGCTTGTCAGGGTTCCTAGTCTCTTTCTCAGCTTCTGTAGCTTAACTACTGAGCCCCTGGATGCTATTCAACCGTCCTCATCATCTTCATCTTCCATCGACCCCTCTATCGACCCCTCTATCGACCCCTCCATCGACGCCGTCACCGTGACCGTCATCGTCACAAGTGCCTCTGCTTCGATACACCCCTCCATCCGCTAACCACGCGGTCAGTACCTCTCCATTCAATATACCCTATTATTCAAAATGTCTTCAGCAATTAGCTTCGCAGAGCTAAAGTTCTTAGACCCCTAACAAAGCTCTACCTTACTATGTTCTACAATTTTTGGTAGTGCGAATGAACCCTGGCTTCAAACATCAACACTCCGCCACGCAACACGGGGCACATTGATGCTTGAATTGTCTTTTGTGACTGAATTCCCTAGTTATCGGTCCTTGCAGCGATCACATTTACCACAGAGTTGGTGAATATGGCTGTCAGATCAGTATGTGAGACAAGTCATCAATACTTGATCCAATAAGGATTGGTTCGGTGTTAACCGATCCGAACATTTGCTACAGCACCCGGGGTCCTACTCAAAGGAAACGTCAAATGGTCTTGATCATGTCTATGTATTGCTTGCAGCTTGGATATAGTGACGCTGAAATGGACGATCCAATTCGGTAGCACCCATCCCAAGAAACAGACCAGTCACATCAGCAAGCACAATAGCCAAAACCACAATAGGACGTAAGAGTTTTAACCGCCAATTCCCAAACTGCCAACGTGATTATATCCACCAAATAAGGTACAAGTTCTCGACAGATCATCAGCTGCAAAAGGATACCATCCGCTTGTCAGATTAAAGCAAAGACAGTCACTTTCCCATCTGGACAAGGCGACATCTATCATTACTTGCTGAAGGTGCCCCCGTAAGAAGTCTGTCAATGCATTTTGAACTAGTAGTTTTTGATGTTTTATTTCATCTGAGTACTGTACTTTCCCTATTAAACAACTTGCAGATTGGTGTAGATGGTATATGCAATACATTGTGATAGCAACAATAAGCCTGCTCTTGGAGGAGAATTCTTGGTTGTTGAATCTTCTTGGCCCTGCGGAAAGCCTACTCTTGGTGAAGACTTCTTGGTGAAGCGTAGTAAACTTGACCATCCGGGCTTCGCACGGTTAGCCGTGCCAAGCGCCCAACAACATTGATGGAGTTGAACTGTTACTGCGGAAATACAGCGGAAATAACCCGCGCGGACAAGGGCGGATATAGGATAATCCGTCATCACGAGGTGATAAAAGGTTCGATAAGAAACATGCATAGAGACAGACAGGGAACGCTTAAACTATCTTTCTTCCTCAAAATATCGTGAGATCTTGATTCTTGAATGACATTAAGCCACAATGGCGTCAAATGTTCCAAGAGCGGTTATTCTAAAAGCTACGTTTGCAGCTTGCCTTCTATCTCCAAGACCTACTTCGGTTCCTCAGGATGAGATAAACACCTTCCACACCTCGCTCGAGCGCGCGCTGTCGCACTGCTCCCAAGCTAACATTCAGGTAAGTCTGACCCGCTCTGTTTACTCTCTGACCCGCTCTGTTTACTCTTTCACTCTTATTCTCTCTTTTCTCTCTTTTCACGTGCCATCTTCTTTTCACGTGTCACCTTCTTTTCACGTGCCACCTTACCAACTAATTCTTTTCCCATACAGACCTGTAAGGCCTGGTTGCTTCGCTTTGTTGCATCTTCACCTAGTCGGGTACAGGGTCTGGTCAATTACCTGGAAGCTCTTGCAGAGTCTCCCCCCCATCCCAGCCCACTGGATCCAAAGTATCACCAAAGAGCCAACGCCTCAACATCCTTTACTTGATCAGTGATCTGCTACACCATTGCAAGTACCACATAGGCACCCCGACAACCTTCGCCACGGTGATCGGGTCCCTGCACCTGCGTATCGTGGACTTGGTCAGTCACGCAGCAAACTGTGATCGCCAAAAGAACCCACGGCACCATCGACGGCTGGACGATCTCTTAGATATCTGGTCTAAGCACGGATACTTCAATCCCGAGTTGGTCGACAAGCTTCGACAAGTTGTGGCCCTGGGGATCGCCATGGATCCCAACAATGCGAACTCGGCCAAGAAGTCTGGCAAGGATGTTCCCTTTATCATGCCAGCTAGGCATGGAGATCCATCGACCATCTGGCAGGATACTCCTGCAGGAAACATTCTTCCTCACCTTGTGCCCGGCTCGACTAGCCCAATCCAACCTAGTGCCGTCAGACCGATAGAATTACCAGCAGGTCCTGCTGACAAAAGGTTGGCGGACAGCGTCCAAGCCTTGATCGATGATATGAACAAGCTCTTCGACTCGGAAGCTCCTGTGGATGAGAAACATTCAGACCTCGATCAGCTAGGCCAAAGAGTGACCCGGAGTGCGACCACAGGCGACATCCTCGACGGCGAAACCTATTATGGATGGCCCCTTGACTTCTGGCAACCCACCGATACAGGCGTCGAGAGCTCCGCCGACCGAAGTCGCAGTCCTAGTGTATCACGAACCGATAGCAATCGCCCACGCAGCCGGGAAAGCTCATACACACCCCACGAATCATCCACTTCACACTTCCCGCCCCCCCACCAACCTCAACGCCCCCCCGCTCCGTACAACCCCTTCTCCACTACCCATCCTTCCAATGGACAGTATGCCCATCCTCCCATGGGTCCCAGCAATGGCTACACCCAAGTACCTGCACCCAACTACGGTTCTTGCCCTCCGCCTCCCCCGCATATGCCAACAATGCCCTTCCCCACATCCGGACCCGGATCCTCCTCGGCCTTCCCTCCTCCGTACCAGCATAATCCTTCTATGCCTCAGGAACAGCGAGAGGGTAACGAAATGTCGCAGGGTCAACATCACTTCCCTGCTCCTCATTCAGGGGGTCGGGCTGGTGCGCCACGGGGACGACGGGGACGACGGGGACGACGGGGGCGCGGGTGGTAAACAACATGCGCACACGAAACACGAAACGATGTAAGAGTTATGCTTGAATGTTTGAAATGCGACCGACTCAAATCGAGTCAACGGAAAGGGATCCTTCCAATGCTGCAGTTGTATGATTACGGCCCCATTGCAGCGGGGCATTCATGTTAATTTAGTGTACAATATGAAAGAGTACATTTAATTTTTGTTGCATTCGAGTAGAGTAAGTACTTTACTGTTGATACTATTTAACAGTAAGTATAGGTACAACCTAGTAAAACTTCGATAGGTAGCAGAGGAAGCAATCTACAAACATTCACAGCGGAGCCTTGCGAGTATTGCAAAAAAGATAGAAAACAACCGCATATAGAAAGCATGGCGTACACACTGTAACCTCCATGGGCCAAACTCTCACAGGTAAAGTGTCCATATAATATCAAGTAGAAAAGAAAAAAAAGAAACCAAAAGACCCCAGCCAATCTTCAATTTGCAAGTATACACTCATCCCATCCCATGTTACAGAGTTCCAGACCAGCCAGGCCATTGGAACTAAGTAAGAATGTCCATGATCATATCAGCCTGCGTCTCCGGTATATCCTTCATCTGATTCGCATAGTAATTCTTCTTAACCTGATCGAAAGGCTTGCAGGCGTTGAAGGCGGAACCCTAGAAGAAAAGAATATAAGTCAGATACCCGAAACAAAAAAAGCAAGAGAAGATGAAATACACACATCATTTTTGCTACTGCAACACATGGGGGAATACCCTTTCCCGTTGCATGTATTAGGAGCCTCTCTCTCAGCCATCTTCTTGCCTGTAAGGTATGTTGAATTAGTATACAAATAATCAAGGCTCCCGGATGCCATATAGAAGAAAGAATGGGGGAGAAAACATACACTTGAAGGATAGAGCCGAGCTAACCTGCAGCCCGCTGACAGCTGGGACTACCTCGCTGAGCCCCTTGACGATGTCCCCGCTCGCCTGCTGAACAGACATGCAGCAGGACTTGAACTTGCCCTTGGGGCATGTGTAGGCCTCGTATGGGTTCGGTGACGGGGTAGCCGAAGCTGAGGCAGAGGCGGAGCTCGAGGGCGAGGACGAGGACGAGGGCGAGATGAGAGACTTGGACACGGAGGTCGTAGGCGTTGGGGTATCGTTCCCCATTGGGATGGCCGTGGTAACAGACAAGAGGGAGACAAGTCCTGTGAGGAAAGTTGTGAGGTGCATCGTTGCTGATTTTTGTTGTTGTTCGTGTGTTGGATAGGTGTGAAAGGTACTGAGTGGATGTATAGCCGCGGATGGCTATGAGACTTGGATATCCGAAACGAACGTGACTATAAGAGGCAGTGGATTAAAGGAGTGTGTGTTGGTCTCCGGAATCGAGACCAAATTGAATGGCTGTAGCTGGATCGGGTTGGTTGTCGTGAGGTTGTCGGTGGGTGTGTCGGTGTGTCGGAGAGGAGACAGGAACACGATGTTGACCTTCAATGTATGCAAGTGCTGGATTTGCTTGGGGAGGGGGGCTCCCAGCCTCAACAGGCCTATCGCAATTTCTTCTACCTTCCTCCCTTGGGGGGTTTTGGTTGGCTCATGGCCGAAGCCTGGGATTCCAATGGTTTCATCCCTCTGTTTAGAGAGGTACGGTATGGCCTTGATTCGCTGCTGAGTTGGACCATGTGGAATGTGCAATCTTGGTAATAGTTTCTACTGGTCTTCCTCGGTGCTTTTGCTCTGGTATGTGGGCTTCGGTGTTGGTATTGTCTGTTGTTTATCGCCGTCTGAATGGCATATATACACTTTGCAGCGAAAGTAGAGTCAATTGGAACATACAACAATGTAATATAGTCACAGCAATAATTTCATGAATCACCTCATGTTCAATAAAATAGTTCAATAAAATATACAAGTCGTTGGGAGGACAAGTTTTCTAAGAGTGTACGGAGTATTGGATTCCCCTTCAGAGGTATGCAAGGGATGTCTCAAGCACGCAGCTCTCCACTACAACGCGACAAGATCCCAAGTTAAGACTAACATGTTCCCCGTGAAAGCTCTTGGCCTGAGAAGCAATTATTCAGAGTTCGATCTATGAACTAAGACAACAAAATAATAGAGAGTACATATATATAGTTATGTATGTTAAAGAGGTTCTTCTGAATAAAAGGAAGGCTTCACTCCTAATTGACAAGACTGAATATGTTCTAGTTAATTTCAAACATGAAAATCCAATCCTAATAAGCCTGGGGTTAAAAAAAAAAAAGGTAAGCTTGGATGCAATTATCAGGTTGAGCCTACCAAAGATATATACGCTTCTCTAATTGCTATACCAACAGACATTCCCATTTGAGTCGGATAGACGCATTACCCACACGTCCTTTTTAGTCTCACCCTCGCCTAAATAAATAAATAAATATCTGAAACATCGGCATCGCCGATCAAAGCGGCCCCGGGCCGGCGGGAGGACCGATTGACCAGCCTATCTGACTGACCACTTGGGCTTTAAACGGACCTAGATAGAGCTCGACAAGCTAAGCTTTCGAGTTCCATGCAGTTGATACTCGAGGGAAACCTCCAAAACATACTCGAAACACTACTTCAGAGGCAATCCTCAAGCTAACACCAATTCCAACTCCAATACGTCGCCATGCCAAAGACAACTCAAGTCTATCTCTCTACATTCGGGATAGTCTAAGGAGTCTTGATGTCCGTGTTGTTCTAGATTTCCGGTCAGATCGCCACTAATTCTTACAGCTTTAGTATGTTGTATATTATATATACTAGTCGCATATTTATTTTGCCTAGTCTCCACTGCCAACAGTATAAGCACGAAATATATATATTTAACGAAAAAAGTTAGAAAATATACCGAACAAACCCCGAGAAAAAGACCAAAGACCCCAAAGACTACATATGCTAGACCAAACTAAGAAACCACCTGAGCCAAATACATTAGTCTAAGCCACAATTGTATTGTTGTGCTGACAATTTGTCTCGGAGTAGCATAAGCCTTGTCTCAGCCACTAACTCAATATTGAAGCATATTTAATGAATAGGATAAATGTACCGATGAATTTATCTCTACTACGCAGTCAACAGCCAAAAAAAAAAAGAAAGCAATAAAGAAAATAAACAAAGATAATTAGAAGACAAGATGGCTCCGGGTTGATTGTGCATAATTGTATAGATCATCAATGGCCAACACGGCTATGTGGTATCGTAACAGGGTATAGTTCTCCGAGGGACAGTCCAGTGTCCTCGACTCCGAGAAAGAGTTGGTTCATCACATAGAAGAAGAAGAAGAAGAAGAAGAAGAAGAAGAAGAGGAAGAGGGGAAAGCACAAATCGCTGGGAAGCAGTAAAAACACAGATAATGTACAGGCCGGTATTCCTTCTGCGAAGGAATATCAAGCAGAATGGAGTCGATCGCTTACCCAGACCCCGGGAAGAGTGGACAGTGTTCAAAGAAATGTTCGAAATAGAAATGAACTATCGTTTGTAAACTGCCCTCCAGTCCCATGAGCAACCCCCAAACGGTCTTAGATGACAATGATGAAAGCAAGTCATATATATCCTAATAAGGGATGCAGAAGGACGGAAGCGACGAGTCAAGACCAAGGGGTGTGGAGTAGCGGAATACGCGATGCGTAGTCCGGCTCTGAAAGCCCGGGGAAAGGATGCTGAGGATCAATCGACATCCCAAAAATGCTATGCAAAAGTAAAAGTGGGTAGAAAAGGGGCTAGGGAAAGTAAAGGACCATATCGCAGTTGACCCCGACGAGTCGAGGCCATATAGAAATCAAACTCAAAAAAACATTCAATATATCGCTTGAAAAGCAGGCACGCTCTCCCGCGCGAATCTCATAAAACTCCGCAGAAATTCTGTATCGGGTAGGCATTGACGGAAAAGTATACGTGGCTGTTGATGGTCCCATAGGACCACCAACAGCTCGTCAATGCGAGTATCGTTATGATGCTAGATCACGATATTGGTGGAACAGGACCACTGAAAGTTCTTTCGTTAGCTTTCTTATACATTGTAGTTATCAAGATGAAAGAAAATGCATACCTTGATACAGGGCACAGCCTCAATATCCAGCAGACTTAGCCTCAAGCCAAATCGCTGCCACTGACCTTGGTCTCGGCAAGATGAGGGGTATTGCTGACGGGTGTGAAAGATTCAGTGGCCTGTCGGGATATATTGCTGCCGCTAGAAGCGATGCTACGACCACTCTTGCCGCTGCTCTGGCTATCACGACGGGAGTCGTCTGTGTCAACGAAGGAAGACATTTGGCGCTGGGTGTATTGTAGCATGGAGCGATTGTAGTCCTCCAGCGAGGCGCGGGAGGGATCCAGCGACCGGTAGGAATCGACCAGAGTCTCCATGGTGTGGATGTTTCCAGTTGCTTGTTGTATTTGGGCGGGGTGACTCATGGTGGAAATGAAAAATGTCTTCGAGGTGAAACGGTCAGCTTAAGTTCCAGGACTGGTATGAGGTAGCGGTAGGAGTGTGAAAAAAAAAAGTTGATCAATAGTATCGTTGTGGGTGGTCGTGACATAGGGATGAGGCTGATGTGTAGGACGATCACCGTGGGGTGGAGGTTGGGTTGTGGGTGCCGTGGGGAAACCAGATGGTACTGATATCCCAGTCAATTCAACAGTTACTCACCTGTGATATTGAAATATTTCAAGACCTAACCAATTAGACCCGGTTGTGTTGGATAGTAATGGTACTGAGGGTCGCGGGTAGGATACGTCGTGCTAAGTCGGTGGAAATCCAACGGTATGTATGTTCCGGGCCAAGGATATAAAATGGTAGGGGGAAAGTGCTATGGGGCAGGATTCAGGAGTTAGGGCACATATATGGAGGACGAAGAACTGGATCCCAATTTGCAAGCAAGGTTAATATATAATATATAAGACACGCGTGGCTCCACAGACGGAAATCACATCGGGTGGTCGAAGATGGCAAACGCACCCGACTTTACAACCTCTGATAGGTCAATAAGTTGCCTAATTTCTTCTCCCATGGTAAACACAAGAGATCTCTCCCGATTACACCGAGGGAAGTACAGTGACATAATTGGCCGAAAGGGGGGAGGAGGGGGGAGGATATTTTCTCCTAGGCGACATCATCAGAAGCATCATAAACCCCAGCCTTCAGTATTTGTAGGTAAATAAATACCGACCTATTGAGTCTGTCGTATAGCATAATGTGGGGTCGAATCATCATCACAGGACGTGATGAACTAACTAATATCCACATGTACACGGAGACTGGTGAACTTCGGGAGCGATATCATCAGTCGTTCCACCTATGGATTGGTCACAGCGCTTCGATGAGGTCACTGGGGAATGTGAATGACCATTGAGAACCGAAGGCGTTTTGAGATCGGCACAATTACAGTCCGGTCCCCTGCAGATCTTTACCTGACGTTTACAGGACGAATCATAATTGAATTACCGTGGCCTTTTGAGGGGCGAGGCCCATGTCGCATTCTGTATCGATACGGGATAGGGTGTCCTTTCGAAGGAAAATGTGGGCATCACTGGTGGAGCCTCGGTAGAGGTGTTATAAACACGTTGTTCCAAAGCCGCAGATCGGGGTGTGGTTCTAGTTATGTAGTGAGATGCTTGGATACATCGATTGATTCAAACTAAGCCAATAGTTAGCTCGATTTGCTCATCCAATCAATGTGATCAGTGTGGCCGTAAGCAGTAAATGCGCCTGCACAGTAAAAAGGCCGTGCAGTAGCTGAGGCTCATATTGGAGCTATGCCGTCATACCCCTAGGCACCGGGGCGATCCGAGCAATCGATTTGATTTTGTGCTTCGGTCAAATACCGATAACCGCCGGTCATAGAAATGCACCCAAGATAATTTGGTTATCAAAAGTGGAACGTTCTTCTGCGGGAAGTGAGCTTGAAGCCGAAACAGTCTGGTACATCGTATCAAAGACATGGCGCAGTGGAGACACAGTTTGCAGCAGATGAAGGTTTAATTAATATCTTGACTGTTTTCATTCGCCGAATTATCAGAAATGAACGAAATAGGAAGAAATGGAGATGCTGTGGATGAGCTAGTGACTTTCTTGGGGAATGTACAGATCTTGGCATTTATGCCTGAGGCAGAACGGCACCTGACGTCAGTGAGCCCTCATTTTCAGATTGACTAGGTAACTATAACTAGTTATGTAGGGACTACATTGTATATTATATTGGAAATAGTGACAAATCTGTCTGCTTCCTAACAGATGAAATCCAGACACTGTACCAGAATGAGGAAATCCTATTGTCTATAGAACTCTTGACGCTCTCCGATGGTCACAACCAAACTTGCGTTACGATATGGGATATCGGGGTAGTTCCACTAAATTAGAGTCCATACTTGTTCCTAGAAGAAAGCGAGATTGAGCAGAATGATTTGTAAGACACATGGGCCAGTGACAGGGGTGCTCGCATCGAAGAACCAGGGGTGGGACGGAGGTGTGTATTTGCCATCCATGAACCCTGGAAGAAACTTGATGCCAGTGGGGAGAGGCAAATCGTTGCAGGATCGGCATAATACCGAACATATCAGGGCCATTTATCCCGAATTTGCCTCTTTGATAGTTGTACATTTTGCTCAACTTAGGGCCGCACTACATTGTACTGCAACATTAGGTAGCATATCAGCGCAAGCTGGAGCTTATATCCAGCATATAGGATCTCCTTTGCCTCGAGAGGTGTTTCATGTAGGAGCATTATAGCAACGTCAGAGGGATTTGAAATACACTCTATATTGTCATTAACAGACATGATCAGCCATCTAACTTTTCAGACCAACGACCTAGTTTTGAAGAGGAACCAGTCTAATCCAGCTGGCACCGGTCTAGACTAAAGTTGGTAATATAGTGAGATTATCATACCACAAATATGCAGACTGGAAAGATATATTCTCATTGAGTTAGTGGTGAGAGAATGATACTGATGTGATATTAGAGTCGACACAAATTCTATACTATGTCATCAGTAGAAAGAAACTTGTGGAGTACAATAGTTATATGTTTTGGCCATTTTACAATATAGCCTGATGGAGTCGAAACCATACCGCTGCTCCACCCCAAGGGTCCGATCCCAAACAAGACAGCATACAAGTTGTATCAACATCCGAACGTGTCAAAAACAAGCGTGTGGGACGTACTCTGTAAATATTACCGAAACGTGCACTTGCAGGTCTTTATCTGCCTATTAAGTGCCAATGAAGGAGTCTTCACGGTCCACTTTCTTCATTATCCCATTCTATGTGGTGCATGGTCTGAAGGCTTGAACCACATACGAACCCACTGGTTATGATAAGCCCTAGACTAACCAAATCAAATACAATACCTTATACTTAACTTGTATGTTGTATGTCTTCGTACTACATGTCGATCAATTGAAACAGTGGATACCCGAAATTAACAATTCCTAGCGCATAGCAAAATGATATCACACCGCAGCCTCTGACGGCGATCCCTACTATGTATTGTAAGCTAAAGGAGCACAAAAACATACTATGTACCTATGTTGCACACCGTAGCGAGCATATGATATCACTGGAAGCAATTTAACTGCACGGGGCCGATTCTTACCGACATCGCCTCACGTCATAGCCCCTAGCCCTGGATGTCTAGCCACAGCCCATCTCTCCACATTTGTTAATGACTGTCTGCGATATGGCTGCGCGCCCTCGTATATTGCGGACCAGGGCGAGTTGCCAAAAACCTGTTTTGGATAGGATATCAGCCTCGGTAGTATTATGTACAACGTTGCCCCTTAGCCGGACAGCACTCAACACGCTAGCATTCATCAATGTATCTGGACTTGTCTTTATACCGTATTTACTAGCATCATATATTGAAGACAACATCTAAATGATGCATGAAGCCGGTTCGAAACGAATCACTATGATTAGTATGTGAGCTTTCGCCCTTGCTCTGCACTCTGGTCGTAAAGATATGCTGCAAGTCATTCCACATATTCCATTTCACATACTGAAGGTGGGCTTGCCTTCTCTCAGAAACAGGTTCCGACGCTGCGAGCTTTCAGTACTCGGTTCCCCGGCTGCACGGTCATCCGGGATGGTAGGTGTCGAGAGAGGCGCGAGGTGAGAACGGGTCCAGCACAATGTCGACAGACGTTTTCCTCGGTCTCGACTAAAAAGACCATATAGGCTCCCCGATGGAACCCTTCATTCGAACATTAAACGGTTTTACCCTGCGAACATACAGCTATGCTCATATTGTTACTGTCTACTCGTGGATATAAACTCATCTATAATAATAAAATTATTATGGCGTTGAAGTTTGTGTCTGCATTGCCGAAGGAATTTTGAAGTAACTACATCGATACGCCGAGACACTAAGGAAGTGGACACAGAAACAAGACAACAGCAAGAGACAACAAAAGACAGGGAAGGGAAGAGACAGCAAGAGACAAGAAGAGACAAGAAGAGACAACAAAAGACGGGGATGAGAAGAGACAACATCAAGAGACAACAAAAGACAGGAAAGGGAAGAGACAGCAAGAGACAAGAAGAGACAAGAAGAGACAACAAAAGACGGGGATGAGAAGAGACAACATCAAGAGACAACAAAAGACAGGAAAGGGAAGAGACAGCAGGAGACAAGAAGAGACAACAAAAGACAACAAGAGACAACAAGAGACAACAACAATAAAATGGACCATCAAAAGGAAGGAACCTTTCAGAAAAAAAAAGCGTCCTCAGAAAATTCTTCGGACAACAGAGAGCTATCTCTGTCATAAAGGTTCCAAAAATTAATGTCGAAGGAGATGAGAACAGAGCCCCTTCCTAGTTTGAAGATCCTTTGGTTCGGCTCCTGGCGGACAACGGGAGCACCCAGGCCAGTACAGTCTGTTTCCGCAGCGGTGCATAGGAGTGCCTCAGCCGGAGCCTACACCTGTTACCTCCCAGACATGCTTCGTGCCATTCGCAGCCTGACGAGGGCCGCCTACAGAGACCCGCCAGAGTCATCAGGATAAACCGATCACTTGACAACAGCATCAATATGTTGAATAGAGACCTGAAGCCAGAACCAAAGGTGAAACAAAAAATTGAAGGGTACTCAACAGGAACCACGATGTGGACCCGGAGTGGTGTGGAGAAGGAAGAAAGAAGAAGAGAGAGAAATTGGGGGGAAGGGGGTATTTATACCTTCCCAATGACTATAATGCAAACATTGAATCTGTGCGCAGTAAGCGAGTTTTGACAAAATAGACCAAATAGGAAAGAAGTATAATGCAAACATTGAACCTGCGCGCAGTAAGCGAGTTTTGACCGAAAAGGGAAGGCACCTGGCACCTGATCCTGGGGGCTGGTTACCTATTTAGGTATGTACCCAGGTAGTTCAAATTGGCGAGACGCCGTAGCCACATGATTGCTCACCATGCAGA